CGTACATTGGCTATAACTTTTTGAGACTCAAGTGGACCCCCGACATATTATACCTTTTTCTGACCGCCAGGGGACGCTCTACAATATAGGCTATCTCAAACGGGTGAAACGACACTTTTCCGAAAATCGACTCAAGTCGAAGTCGCTCAATGACTCATATCTCCCCAGGACTTGATCTCAGACTCAAACGTCCACCAACTTAAATGTCCCTAATACTCTCCCCTACAAATAACTCAACACACCCAAAGTCATTCCACAGCAAGACTTTTTCAGTATAACCATTTTCCCCCCTCAGACTCAAATATCCCACCTCCGGACTCAAGTGACCCCCACATAACAAACATCACAAAACGCGCATTAAATTACTCTATAATACCCCCCAGGTCCCATCCAAATACACCTCTCCAAAAAAAAGTTACACTCAAAAAACCATTTGAGTACAGGCCGGACATTTCAGTCTCACGGGGTTTTCTACCCCGGGACTTAACTTTTTTGACCCGAATTTTTTTCCATTATGATCTACTAATTGTGGGATGCGTGCCTCCCAGCAAGACCTTCCCCCCTTTCTATTGGACTTTTTCGAGATAGGAAATGACCGGATGCCGTTTGAGACTCAAGCGACCCCCGGAAAATTTTGGCTATATTTTTCCTGGATGCCCCGTAAAAAGTTGCCCCCAGGATGTCAGGCTTCGGGGAAGCGGCCGGCCTTCGGCCGGCCGATATTAGTTTTTAAATTTAATTGGGCTCTGGATTTTATATTATATAACTAGCTGTGGGTTACGTATGCGATGGCGGTAACTTACGTATGCAATTCCTATTAGGATACTTTAGGTTTAATAGCATTCTGCCCGTTGGAAAGCCTAACGGCTTTGGGGCGCGCTTCGCGCGCTGCTAGAATTTTTGAATGCCTGGAAAGAAAGATTACGCTTTGCCTTTCATTGCTTCGGCCTTCGGCCCTCGCCCTCCATCGCTTCGGCCTTCCCCGGTCTCGTCTTCTACTTAGGCACTCGTCTTCCCCTCGACCGGCGGGCCTTCGGCCTCGGAGGATCTATGCTCTACCTTTACAATTGCTCTGCCTTTTAGATGGAATGAAAGCTCGGGCCTTCGGCCCTCGCCAACCGGCGGGCCTTCGGCCCGCCGGTTCCTTGGCCTTCGGCCTCGGAGAATCTATGCTCTACCTTTGACAATTGCTCTGCCTTTTAGATGTAATGAAAGCTCGGGCCTTCGGCCATCGCCAACCGGCGGGCCTTCGGCCCGCCGGTTCCTCGGCCTTCGGCCTCGGAGGATCTATGCTTTGCCTTTGACAATTGCTCTGACTTTTAGATGTAATGAAAGCTCGGGCCTTCGGCCCTCGCCAACCGGCGGGCCTTCGGCCCGCCGGTTCCTCGGCCTTCGGCCTCGGAGGATTTATGCTCTGCCTTTGACTATTGCTCTGCCTTTTAGATGTAATGAAAGCTCGGGCCTTCGGCCCTCGCCTACTCCTCGGCCTTCGGCCTCGGAGGATCTATGCTCTGCTTTTGACTATTGCTCTGCCTTTTAGATGTAATGAAAGCTCGGGCCTTCGGCCCTCGCCAACTCGTCTTCCCCCCATTGGGACTCATCCTTCCACTTAGAGTCACTTCGGGCCTTCGGCCCTCGTCTTCCTTTCGATTGGGCTCCTCCTCCCACTTAGAGTCACTTGCTCTGCCTTTTAGATGTAATGAAAGCTCGGGCCTTCGGCCCTCGCCAACCTGCGGGCCTTCGGCCCGCCAACTCCTCGGCCTTCGGCCTCGGAGGATCGATGCTCTGCCTTTAACAATTGCTCTGCCTTTTAGATGTAATGAAAGCTCGGGCCTTCGGCCCTCGCCAAACTCCTCGGCCCCGTTGGGACTCATCCTTTCAATTAGAGTCACTTCGGGCCTTCGGCCCTCGTCTTTCTCTCGATTGGACTCACCCTTCCACTTAGAGTCACTTCGGGCCTTCGGCCCTCGTCTTCCCCTCGATTGGACTCATCCTACCACTTAGAGTCACTTCGGGCCTTCGACCCTCGTCTTCCTTTCGATTGGGCTCCTCCTCCCACTTAGAGTCACTTGCTCTGCCTTTTAGATGTAATGAAAGCTCGGGCCTTCGGCCCTCGCCAACCGGCGGGCCTTCGGCCCGCCAACTCCTCGGCCTTCGGCCTCGGAGGATCGATGCTCTGCCTTTAACAATTGCTCTGCCTAATAGATGTAATGAAAGCTCGGGCCTTCGGCCCTCGCCAAACTCCTCGGCCCCGTTGGGACTCATCCTTTCAATTAGAGTCACTTCGGGCCTTCGGCCCTCGTCTTTCTCTTGATTGGACGGGGCGGGCCTTCGGCCCGCCTTTTCCTCGGCCTTCGGCCTCTGAGGATCTATGCTTTACCTTTAACAAATGCTCTGCCTTTTAGATGTAATGAAAGCTCGGGCCTTCGGCCCGCCTTTTCCTCGGCCTTCGGCCTCTGAGGATCTATGCTTTGCCTTTGACAATTGCTCTGCCTTTTAGATGTAATGAAAGCTCGGGCCTACGGCCCTCGCCAACCGGCGGGCCTTCGGCCCGCCGCTTCCTCGGCCTTCGGCCTCGGAGGATCTATGCTTTGCCTTTGACAATTGCTTTGCCTTTTAGATGTAATGAAAGCTCGGGCAAACTTGTCTTGTCCAACTTGTCATCCTCTCGATTGGCTCATCCTTCATCTTAGAGTCACTTCGGGCCTTCGGCCCTCGTCTTCCCCTCGATTGGACTCATCCTTCATCTTAGTCACTTCGGTCCTTCGACCCTCGTTTTCCCCTCGATTGGACTCATCCTTTCAATTAGAAGGATGATTGGACTCATCCTTTCAATTAGAAGGATGATTGGACTCATCCTTTCAATTAGAAGGATGATTGGACTCATCCTTTCAATTAGAAGGATGATTGGACTCATCCTTTCAATTAGAAGGATGATTGGACTCATCCTTTCAATTAGAAGGATGAGTGTCCAATCCGAAACAAAATTTCGAAGCATTAGATGCTTCACGAAGCATTGCTGCTTCAGATCCATAACAGGATCCAGCTTATCCCTCCACAAAATTTTCCCCCATATACAAAATTCACCTTCAAACTCTTCTACGGTTTGCCCCGCATGGTCAGAGACGGAGAAAAATTTCGCCTCTCTGCCATCAACTTCACCTGTCAATCATTTTTCCTCTTTCCTACCATAATTTTCCGAGTACTGTACTCACCCCCCACAAATTTTTGAACCTCTGTACTTTCTTCAAAATGTACCGAAAAAATTCGAAAAAAATATTTTTATATCCAGCTCGATGAGAGCTTTCGAATGATATCTCATTTGCCATATCTATATTGAATTTGAAAAAAATATTTTTTTGGCCTGAAATTTAGGCCAGAAAAAATCCCTGAAATTTTCAAAAAATCATATATCGCCCAAAGTATACCTTTTTTGAAAATTTTAAAATCTCATAATATGTAGAAAAATCTGGTTAATCCAGGAAAAATACAATCGGCCCGAACCACCGGCAAAAATCCCGAAAAAATTTCGAAAAACCGAAAATTTTTGGGTTATTTGAAATTCGACCCCTACACCTCCAATTATAATTTTTTTCGAAATTTTTTGGGCTCAAAAAATTTCTAATTTTTTACTCTATTTGATAAAGCAACTCCCATTCAAAAATCCCAATCCCAGAAAAAGTTATGATCCCCTAAAAAATCCCAAAAATCCCACAAAAGGGGTACCCCTTTAGAAAAATTCGAGGGAACAAAATTTTCGGATTTTGACCCATAAAACGTCCCATATGGTACTCTGACATGCGCTGAGTCCAAATCCGGTGTAAGAAAAATTTTAAAAAATTCCCCCTGGACGTTAGAGTCAAAAAAAGTTTCGCGACATTTGCGAACATTGGCCATAACTTTTTCAGACTCAAGTGGACCCCCGACATATTATACCTTTTTCGGACCGCCAGGGGACGCTCTTTAAGATAGGATATCGAAAACGCGTTTTAATTCACTTTTAAGAATTGGAGCCACCGTTCCCAATTTTACATAAAAATATCTTGAAACTTTGGGCTACTGTAACTTGGTCCAAGGTGGTCCGAAAAATTTAAACTAAATTTATCCAGACTCAGCTCTTCGAGAGCTTTCATTTGACATATCACACGTGAATTGTCGATTAGTTTCGTAAATTTCGAAATTTGCGAAACTGGGATTTTGGGATATTTGCGCAGGCATAAGTACCCTTCAAATCCGAATTTTGACTTCGGGTTTTTTGCTATTAATATCCTCTAATACCAACGTGCGTGCCTCCCAGCAGAAGTTTTTCAATATCTTCCCCCACTCCCGAGATACCCCGGGTACCTATACAATTTAGGTACCATGGGGCAATTATTTTGAAACTTCCTTATTTTTCCCAAATGCCCCATCATATGGGACAACGAATGCAAAAAGATTCAGACCCCTAACTCAATCCGGTAAAGGGTTAGAATTTTTCAGCCTGGGGGCAAAATTTTTGCGCAGGCATAAGTACCCTCCAAGTTGGGATTTCGACTTCGAGTTTTTTCCCGTTTATATCCTCATATCCCCACTTGCGTGCCTCCCAGCAGAAGTTTTTCGCTATCCCCAACCGTTCCGGAGATAGCCCCGGCACCTAAGCGATTTAGGTACCATGGGGTAATTATTTTGACTTTTCGATAATTTTCCCAAATAGCCCGTCAAAAGTACCCCCCAAGATGTACAACTTTCAGAAGGCTCCCGGCCTTCGGCCGGGAGCTTTAATTTTTTCTAAAAAAATACTCTCATAATTATAGGTATATAGTAAATACCATGGGGTAATTATTTTGACTTTTCGATAATTTTCCCAAATAGCCCGTCAAAAGTACCCCCCAAGATGTACAACTTTCAGAAGGCTCCCGGCCTTCGGCCGGGAGCTTTAATTTTTTCTAAAAAAATACTCTCATAATTATAGGTATATAGTAATTAAAAAAAAAACAAATTTTTATTTGAATAAATTATATTTAATTAATAATAATCCAATTATTTTTAGTTCCAAATTCATTCCAACAATCCTCATATAAACTTTCTGTATACCATTTACCTTCACAAATAAAACAAAATTCGTGCCTTCCTTTAGGTAATTCTAACAAAACACCTTTTTTGTTTGGCTTTCCATTTATTGAATCACAAATTAAAGCACATTCCCAATTTAGAAAACTGCCCTTAAATGTATTAATTGAATAAATAAAGTGTTGATTGCGATAATTAACAGGGTACGATAATTAGGAATGAGAGAATCAAGGGGACCTTCCCACTTCATAGTTCGCCATTAACATTAGACCATTAGCACTATTAACCATTAACATCTTTAACATCGACCATTGACCATCACCAGTAACATTACTGATCGAGTTATGGGACAAGATCTGGGGGTATTCCAATATCTACCAATTTGCAGAATTCTGGTACTAACTACCACACCATTTTTGGGAAGAGTTGTTCCAATGCCTAACAATAGGCAAAATTGGCTTGCCATTTGCCATGTTTTCTGTCAAGCCACCCCAATAAATTGGCGATGGCTAATGACGGATATGGAAATACACTTCTGGGGTTTTCTATTATCCAGAGCTCAGCCTTTTTTGAGCTTGCTTGGTTTTACTGGACCTAAGGCAAAGTAAACGACTCAGGTAAAAATACTGTCCTTCCGAAATTATCGCAATAATTAAAGTTTAAATTTAAAAAAATAACAATTAGAAAAATATCTCCAGTTCCATTAGAACTTGTCTCCAAAAGAATTCTTTGTAGAGGCATTTTTAAAGAATTTTCACTTTAATAAAAATGTTTTTAATTAAAAAAATTATTTTTACATCGTCAAAAGTGTCCATTTATGTCTATCGTTGCGTGGCTGTCTTTTAATAATTAAAGCTCCATTAATACCTCCAAGAGATTTAAAAGAGTTTAATTCACTTTGTGTTTCATTAATGCTTAAATTAATTAAATAATTCTGAAAAAATCAGAATAATTTTTCCGGAAAGTTTTTTGTAGTATTTTCCGGAAAAGTGATGAGTTCTGATTTAATATTTAACGAAGACAATAGTTGCTGTTTTCCGGAATATATCAGAAATTTTAATTTGTTCAGAAATGTTTCCGGAATTTCCGGAAAAAAATTTCCGGAATTTGTTCAGAAGTGTTTCCGGAAAATGTCAGAAAATTAATCAGAAATTCCGGATAAATCAGAATATTTTTTTCTGATTTATTATTTTTAAATTCTGATTTGTTTAAAATCAGAATAATTTTCAGAAAAATTTTCCTAGAGTGTTTTCCGGAAAAGTAAATTCTGAATTGTTTAAGAACAAGGTAGTAGTGTTCTGGAATTTTGTTCAGAAATGTTTCCGGAAATTTTTACTTAAAATAACAATACGTTTGTAATTGCTGGTTGCGATGTTCTATGCTTGCTTCTAATTCGCCAATTCTTTAATAATTAAAATAATTAATTAAAGAATTTAATATAATTTAATTCACCTCCATTTTGCATCATTCAAATATTGCGTTACTTCCCCTAACCGCCATTCTACCTTTGATTTTAGTTCGATAGATGTAGATAGTTCATTATTTAAATGTTGTTCTCTATTTTTTAAATTATTTAGTTCTGCTTCAACTTCGCCTAATCTAAAAATATTATTTAATTTTGGAAAATATTTTATAAATTATTTGAAGAAATTATAATAAAATTAATATTAAATTCATTAAAGTTTAAAAATTCTGATTTATCATTCCAAGATTTCCTTCTATTTTAAATTCTGATTTATTATCAATAATATTTATTAATAATATTCTGATTTACTATTATAATTTCCGGAAGTTTTAAGAATGAGAATTTCCGGAAATTATATTTAAAACTAGAGATCGGACCGTACCGTACTACGGCCGTATTTTTCGGTATTTATCGGTAGTCCGTATCGGTAGTACGGTACGGAATACGGTACGGAAAATTTTTTTAAAAAAATACGGTACAGAATACGGTACCGATGAAAAATATAGGTATTTGTCGGTATTCCTCGGTATTTATCGGTATTACAGTCGGTAATACGGTACGGAATACGGTACGGCAACATTTTGAATTTCATCGGTATTTTTCGGTATCGGTATTTTTCGGTATCGGTATTTTTCGGTATTACGGTACGGAATACGGTACGGAACAAAATTCCGATCTCTATTTAAAACCTTCCTGACTTTTGTAACTTGTGATTCACTAATAATAATTACAATTTCCGGAAGTAAATTCTGATTTAATATTCAAAGATATAAATTCCGTAATTTCCGGAAAGTTTTAAATTCTGATTTTATATTACCACAAAATTCTGATTAATTTATATTTATTGATATTTTAAGTGTTTATTATTATACCTCCATTTAGTATCGTGATATTTCTTTTCCATTTCACTTAATTGTTTAGAATATTCACTTTCATTAATTAAAGGGAGATTTCCTTCTAGCCTATTTAATTTTTAATTAATTTTTTATTAATTTTTATCAATTTACCTCCTTTCCAGTTCACCAATTTTATGATGCGCTTCATCCAGTAATGTGCTTCTATGCATTGTTTCAGCTTCTAACTCTCCAACCCTAAAAATATTATTTTTAATGCAGCAGACAGATCTTAATATGAGATGCACCCTCAATACTCAGTTAATTCACCTCACCCCAGTTAAGATCCGTTTTCTATTTTATTTGTCCACTAAGGGGAGGAGGAGGAGGAAGCTGCTTAAACAATACATCCTATTTAAGGTACAACTCATTATAAGAGAAAATTTTCTATAATTTTCTAAGCCTCAAGGAGGCCTCTATAAACGAGCTCTAAACACCCTCATAAATTTATCACTAGTTTTTACTTCAATTTAATTTTTAAATTTTTCTACCTCCATTTTGCATCATTCCATAATTGTTTCAATTCCCCAATTTTCCAATCCGCAGCATTTTTCTCCTCTGTTTTTCTAATTAATTGGTCATTTAAACGTTGAATTTCTTCAGAATTTACTGGTTTATCATTCGAATTACTCTCTAATAATTTCTGATAATTTTTCTTTTCCTGTTCCAATTGCCAATCTCTATGGGCAAGTAATGCTTCAACTTCCCCCAATCGCCATTTTGTATCATCTAAGAAATTTTTAATTTATTTTCAGCAAATATACAAAGGGAGAGCTTTAGGATTCACACCCTTCTATTAGAGATAATTAAACAGTAACTATAATACCCGGGAAATGGGACCCCTCCGATTAATAGAGCTAAAGTGAGTTAATAAACGTGCTCGAGTCAGGCCTCACGGTTCTTAACTAAACTTCGGCTCAGTGTCTTAAAGCTAAGGGACATGCTCGAGCTCGATTATTATTAAATACTTGATAGGTTTATTCCAATAAAAACCAAATAAACTCGATTTTAAGCTCGATTTATTCTAGGTACATGATACCATTCTAATAGCAACCCCCTAGATTTTTCAGAAAATACAAGGGGGAGCTATATAGGGTTGTACCCCGAACGTTCGGGGGCGGGTATGTCGGGGTACGGGGTTTTCCAATTGTTTCGGGGCGGGGTTCGGGTCGGGGGAGCAAAATATGACCGGGGTTCGGGTCGGGGTACGGGGTTTTAGTGAAAAAATTTTTAGAGAAAAAAATGCTCAAAAATAATCAGATCTCGGTATATTTTCGCTAATTTATTAAAAAATTAAGTAGGATTTGGAGAAATTAGAGGGGATTTGAAGGGATTAAAGTGTATAACTTGGGATATAAGTGGATATGGAGGGATTAAGCGGGATTTTTAGGGATTAAATGGTATATCTAGGGGTGCAAGGTGATCTGGAGTGATTTTTGTTGTTTCAAGGGATATCAGTGATTAATAAGAATATTGAAGTATTGCGGATAAGGGTATTTGGACGGATATCAGGAGATATCTTGGATTAATCCTTAAATCTCCCACGAAATCCTTGTTAATTCCATTAAATTCACGTAATTCTTTCAAATCCATTTTAATCTAAACCTTATATCCCTTTAAATCCCTTTATAACTCCTTAATTCTTCGATATACTACAAATTCCTTTATATCTCTGATTCCCGTTAACAGGACCTCGATAGTTTTCCAACTGTTATGGTTGGGAACCCCTTACTGGTGATACAAGGGGTTTGAAGGATTATGGGTCGTTCAAGGGATATCAGTTAAAAATAAAATTAATATTTTAAAATTAAAATTTAACTCGTTAATAATTTGTTTTTGTAAAGAAATATAAAAACAAAAGAGTTCTCCTTATATGGATCCGAACCCAATCCTATATTAATGGAAATATAGGCTAAAACCAACAACTAAGCCACTCAACCACAAGTCTCTTAATTAAGAATGAAAGAAAATTTTGATATTTCATTCATTTTTCTTTCAAAAATAATAAAGGCAAAGTAAATTGTGAGGAAATTTTTAAAATTTTTCTCTTAAAATTCTCACAAAAATGGCATTTTTTGGGTGTATAAAACCCCGATAACCCCGAAACTTTTATGGTCGGGGTACGGGGTTTTCGAAATGTTTCGGGGCGGGGTTCGGGTCGGGGAGAATCGTGAAAAAATCGTTCGGGAACGGGGTCGGGGTTCGGGGTACGGGGTCGGGGTACAACTCTAGAGCTATAGCTAGCGTCCGGCAAAATTTTAAAAATAATTAAAAATAAAGAGACTAACTATACATTTGCATCACTTCCCCCAACCTCCATTCTACTTTACTTTTGGCTTCACTCATTTCTTGTAATTTAGATTCATAATCACTTTCAATATTTTTTAAGCGTTCTCTCATTTCATCTCCTTGTGAGGAAACCGAATTTAATAAAGGAAATAAATTTCCTTGCAAAACAGCTTCATCCAATTGTTGTCTAACTTCTAAACAGTCTTTGTGTGCTTCTAATAGTTCTGCGTCTAAACGCGCATTTTGGGCTTTTTCCAATTCAAAAAGTTCCGAAAGACGGACAGACCTCTAAAAATAAATATACTGTCTTTATAACGGACTCCCTCAAAGGAGAGTCTATCTCTTCCTCGTCCTTTTTTTGAGAATCTTGGAAGGTTAAGAAGCCAGATTTCTTTTCCCTATATGGCGAACTATAAGAACCCCCCCTCCTCCTTCTAATTTATGTGCATTTATAGGGAGTTCATAAGATAGAGTAGGTATATTAATAAAAACTTATTTTTACCTGTTGGGCATCTTTCAATTCAATTTCTAGTTGTTTAACTCTACTTTCCAATTGATATTTTCGTTTATTCGCCAATAAAAGTTCTTTGCCAAAATCATCCGAATAATAATTAATAAATTTGGATGTATTACTTCCATTATTTTGTGCTTAATATCAAAAAATATTTTCTATTTTTGAATCATTATATACCGGAAATATCCTAATTGATGTGCTGGGCATGCTTTATTTGATTGACTTAGCCTTTATTAGGGCAAGGGATCTATTTGGGATTGGATTGGCTCCCGGGAGAGGGATGCCCTAACGCGATAGGGATGTCTCTAACTTGATAGGGAAGGGTTCAACTGGGGCCATAATCTCTTAACTAGTCTCAATCTCATTATACTCTCATATCTGAAACAATCTCCTATTTTCGTTTAAAGATTGACCTAAAGAGGACATGAGGGGTGAGATGGGCTTGGCTCCAATTGGATGAAGATGGACCTATTATGGACCTATATTTTCGACTTACATCCATTAACATTTCCACCATTTTGTTCGCCATGAAAATGACGTTTATAATATTCCTTTTCTTCGTTTGCATTTGCGAGCTTCTTTTCCATCTTAATTATTTCTTCGCGTAATAATTGACAGTTTTCTACGCCATTATTTGAATGGGTTTTCTGTCAGAAGAATTTTTTAAATAAATTTGGGAAATTTTTATGGTCAAATTAGATCCCAAAAATTATAAATCCGAATTTTGTTCCCGGATATGAGCTGGAAAAATGAATACCTCGGAAGGATGAGAGACAACCTTTCGGACAGGGAGACAACTTTTCGGAAAAACAACTTTCCTTTCAGGTGTCCAAAACCAAAAAAATTTCCGAGACGAGGACTGCATCTAATTCGAGACCACGCGGTCTCAATTTAAGATACGGTTTTTAAAAGTTGATTGCTCGAGTGGATGAAGCCGTCTAAGGTATACTTTCTATGGGAGCAGACCAACCTACCGCGAGGCCAACCTACCGCCGGGTTATAACTTCGTTCATAATTGTCGAATTCGGGACGCCCTGGTATGGTTCGATTCAGCTCGTCGAGGCGCATCGAACCATACCAAGGCGTCCCGGATTTGATAATTTTAAATGAAGTTATAGCTCGGCGGTAGGTTGGCCTCGCGGTAGGCTGGGGTGTACCCACTTTCTATTCACCTCCACCATTATAAGACAAAATTTTTCAGATTCAAAAAGGTATCTTATACAATGTGATACAATATTTTCACTAATCGAATCACCCCCCTAATACAATAGCCCTTTGAAGGATGATTGAAAAATAGAATGCCTGGGCATTCAATTATAGAAGATACGTTATACTATATTAACTTAACAACCATATTTTGTTCTGATAATAATTCATCAATTTTCCGATTAGCTTCAGCTAGTTGTTCTTCTACAGAAATATTATTTCCATTTAATTCCATCTTCTTTAAAATTTAATTTTGTTAAAAAATATTTTTAAAATTAATTAAAAAATAAAAATAAATTTAGGGTGGAGAGAGAGACAATCTTTGGGTGGAAATCAATTTTTTTAATATTGAAAAAAAATATTGTTTAATAAAAAAAGCAAAACTGTCATGAGTTTTAATGACCAAAGGTTGGGTAAAATAAATATAAATATAAAAAAAGTATATGTATGTATTTCCCAAATTTTTTGAACAACAAATTAATTAAAAAGTGGCGACTATTTTTAGAAAAAAAACAAAAATTGTCTTATTTTTTTAATTTTTTTTTTAAATTTTAGACGTTTAAGAGACGTAATAATAAATTATTTTTAGTGAGGACTGGGTTAAATGATAAAATTATAAATATTTGATCAAATACTTTGAATTTGTGAAGAGAAGGGACAAGTGAGAACAAGATAAAACAATTTCTGCGAGAGGCACCGAGAGAGACTCTGAGAGGGATCTGAATGAGAGAAGCTATAAGAGAGAGATCCTGAGAGGTATCTGTATGAGAGAGAGACCTGAGAGACAGAGGGAGAGAGAGATTGAGAAAGAGACCCTGAGAGGGATCTGAATGAGAGAGAGAGAGACCCTGAGAGAGATCTGATTGAGAGAGGTCCTGAGAGGGATCTGAATGAGAGTGAGACTTGAGAGACAGAGGGAGAGAGAGATTGATACAGGGACTGGTCCAGGGATGACGCGGATATTGTTTCTTGCTTTTTGCATTCAGCGAATGTGTAAATTTTTTTGAAATTGTAAACTCCAAAATTTGTGAATTCATTAAATAATTATGTAGAAAAATATTTCTAACTGGAAACAATTTTATTTTATTTTTTATCTTTTTTTTGTTCAAAAAAGTGATAAATAACCGATTAAATTCTCTTTCCATTTATTCTCTTTCCACTTTTTTTACTAAACAGCTACATAGGTAAAAATAGAATAAATAAATAAATTTTATTTTTGAAATAAAAAGGAAAAAGAGGAGAGAAAGCTTTTTAGTAAAGAATTTAATCAACAAATAAATTTTTTTAGGGAAAAATATTTTTTTTTTATTTTTGTGTTTTAATCTTTAATTGATTATTTGGTGTAAATTATAGGTGACAAGATTAAATTAAGGTTAAAAATATTTTTTTAATAATAAAAAAATCAATTAATGAAATTAAAATTTGGCCAAAAACCAATTTCAGGTTTGAAGCTGACAACAGAAAGCCAAAAGTCTGTCATCAAAACGTATTGTTTAGCAACCACAAAACTCTGAATTCTCTCATATTAGCCTATATTTATACAAAGAAATGACTGACCATTTTGTACATCAACAAAGAGAGGGGGGGGGGGGGGGGGGAGGGGGGAGGAAGTACCCTCTTTTGAAGGTCTCATGACGGGGGGGGGGGGGGGAGACCATGAGAGAGACCCTGAGAGAAAGACTTTGAGAGAGAGACTCTTAGAGAGACTAAGAAAGAGAGAGAGAGATCTGAATGTGGAGACAAAAAAAGAGAGACTATTAGCCTATATTTATACACAAAGATGCCTGACCATTTTGTACATCAACAAAGAGATGGGGGCGACAAAAGTACCCTCTTTGAAGGTCTCATGACGGGGGGGGGGAGAGACCATGAGAGAGACCCTGAGAGAAAGACTTTGAGAGAGAGTCTCTTAGAGAGACCAAGAAAGAGAGAGAGAGATCTGAATGAGAGAGAGAGAGAGAGAGATCTGAATGAGAGAGAGAGAGAAAGAGAGATCTGAATGAGAGAGAGACAAAAAAGAGAGACTGTGCGAGTTAGAGAGGGAGAGAGAGTGGCACAGGGACTCGGGGTCAAGCCAATTAATTAGACAATCAAGCAAATAAAATTCTTCATAAAAATTTTTTTAAACCCCCAAAAATAGAAATTTTAAAACAATTACAAAAATTATAAAAATTCAATCATTTCAATTAAAAGTCGTACTATTATCACCCGACATTCTCATAATTTTATTTTGACTAGGCCCATCATCATCATTCAAAATATCAATTTCTTCATCTTCTTCCAAATTAATATTTACACTTTCCTCCTCTCTATTAGCAAAAATTTCATTATAAATTTCTTTGTGGAAATTGATCAGATGGGATCGAAGATAATATCTGGGCCGTTTTTTTGAATTTGTGAAGTAAATAAAATTGCAGTATTTACAGCGAATTTCATCTTGTCCAGTCAGAAAATGTTCGCTATAGTCAATGTATTTGCTTGTGCCGACTTTCTAAGATTAAAAAAGAGATTAATTTTCTGTGGACATTAAAAGATTAAATACGGAATTTTGGGGCCTACTAGTCTCTAATCATCCTGGAAAATATCACATACATATTCCTGTTAGGGATGTCACTTGTTAAGAAAAATATCGGGTAGTTGCTTCAAAATTTTCTTCGGAACGGGTTTCGGGTTGAAAAAAGTGTCCGGGTTTCGGGTACCCCTTGACATCCTTAATTCCTATCATAGTGAAACCGATTTCCAAGAAACTCTTCCCAAGCCCATTCTAAGGACCCCCATCCCCGTTACCCAAATACCCCTGAATTATGTACTGTCCGTAAAATCGTACCCGCCCCGTAGGAGCATAATTATTCGAGTAAATATAGTAGTTGACTTTGTTATTTAATTACCTAATTAGAGAGCGGACTAAGTATTTTTTGAGATATTACTCTTTTATTCGGATGTATATTCGGGAGAGTTATCTCGAAGTCTCTATTTTGAATATTACCTTCAATTCAATAATTTCATCGTCTTCTATATTCAATTCTTTATTAAAGTCAGAATTTGTAGTTTCAATTAAACTTGTTGAGGTTTGTAATTGTGATGCCATATAACATTCTTTACAATTAGCCATATACAGCAAAACACAATTTAAGGTAATATTGGCATAGTCTTGTTTTATGGCCTCTGAAATTGCCATCTTTTTTCCGTGTCCCAGACGATTGTGGAAATCGTGAATAATATCGAATACCTTTAAGATAAATATAGTAACAAATATTTTGGTATTTGAAGACCGACATTTCCTACATAAAATAGTATTGATACGCAATATACTACCAAAATATAAGTACCCTAAAGGTCTCAATAACATGGCCGTTTATCCCAATTCTATTATACTTAAACTGCCTGCAATGATTAGCAAATTGGGTTATCTGATTAACAACTCAATTTCTAGGTATACTGTACCTTTTTAAATATCCCATAAGTAGGGATCGGATCCGGATATCTGGGGATTCCCAGGATCCTCCAACCCTATCCAAGGGGCACCTTACAATGAGAAGTGCCTCAAAGGGAGGGAGGTATCCCAGAAAAAGCGTAACTTAAATAGAGGTGTGCCCAATATACGAGTATCTAAAATTAAGGTTCAAATGACATTAAAAATACCTCTTCAATAGTAACAAGCTTTCTACGCAGCTTTCCATGTTCTACCAATCTCTCAACTTGTTGATCACCCTCAGTAAAAATTACCAACTCAAATTTGCTCCTAATTTCCAAATCCTTTTTCAATAAAAGTCGCGGATCCAAATTTTGGGTAATTTTCAATCTTTTAACATAAAAATCATAAATTGAACGAGAAAGCATTCTATATTTATTGTTATATAAACTAGTTGCTTCTGTTATAAAATCTGCCCTTCTTTTGGCTATATCAGGGGAACAATTGTTTAATGTGGAAGAATTATAGGTGGGGATGGGGGAATTAAATGTTGTATTAGAAGATGAATTAATTGGTGTAGTATAGGTGTAATTTATTTGGGGTAAGCTAAAGGGGGTAGGCATTGTTGTAGGCATAGACTGTGGGGGCATTTGTTGGGTTATTTGTGGAGGGGTTTGTTGTTGTTGAATCACCTTTGATTTAAAAAAATTTTTAATTTCAAAAGTTTGGTATAGGAATTTATTAAAAATCGTGGCTAAGAATCGTCCCGTTCCTTTCGAGACACTTCCGAGCCTATAGGGGGTAGGCATTGTTAGGGGATGAAAGTTTTTTTTTAATCGGGGATGAAAGTTTTGTGTCTAAAGCACTTATCGAGAGCTCAACTTAGAGATTAGTGAATGTAAAACATCGATGAGGGCGTAACAAGAAGCAGACACAACTCGGCGAGAAATCCCGAAGAAGCGAGATAGCCGGAAACTTAATTGGTCTAGACATAAAAATCTGGCCATTTAGTTTGGGCTACACTAGAGAAGACGCTTAAGGCTTAGAAGCCTTAATCCTTTTAGATTTTTGAATTTAAAAATTTAATTACCTGCTGATTTTGCACTATAGTCTGTCCCTGATTTAACTGGAAAAAATTATGTAAGGAATTGTTAGTAGTGGGAGTAATAATAAAATTAGTATTTGTTGTTGTTGCTGGTGCCGAATTAACAACATTATTAGTTCCCTGTTCTTGTTTTTGATTAATGCTTGCAAAATTTTGAACTAAATCAAGGCCACTAACTGGTTGAGGTATTTTGGGAGCTGGAGCTTTTCGTTTCCTCACGCGTTGCTTCTTTTCTTTGGGAGGGGAAGGATTGGAGACGCTAAAAATTTTAAGGGAAATTATTTTTCGTTGGAAAATTCTTAAAAAAAATTTTTGGTAACATATAAATCAAAAAACGTCCTATTAAGCTTATCTCTCATATAATATCTTCAAAAAATATTTTAGAGGTGTCAAAGATTTTGGTTTTGGGGCTTGACTAAAGACAATTTGACAATTTTTGGGGGTTTCTTCGGTCTCAGAAAATAGTTGATGGGAAGTCATCTTTTTGAAAAGCTTCATATTTGGATACAGTATCAGAGATGTCCGCATTTGAAGTCCGCAAGTCAAAAAACACGCAACTTCACGTAATCCGAATACAAACTCCGCAATTTGATGATATAAGGGGTAATCTGGGGGATATACGGGATTAAGGGTAGTTTTAAGAACACCAAACATTTCAAAAGAAACATTCTGATCTTAACTTCATCATCCTACAACCCCAATCTAGACCCCAAATATTTTTTAAAAAAATTTTTACGTTGTTGTTCCATTCGCACTTTCGGCATTTATTTTATCTATAACAGCGGCAAAAGAACTAAAAGCACTTTTTTCGCCCTTTATCTCTTTTTGACCTTTTTTAGTGGTTGAATTTTGTTTCGGTTTATTTGTTGATTTTCCTGTTGAAGTGGCAGGTTTCTGGGTATTTTGAGAAGAAAATCCATATCGAGAATTTATTGAATTTATTGAATTATATTGACTGTTGTGGCTATATCCTCTTAAAAATATTTATTTTTTAAAATAATTCTGATTTTAAAATTCTGATTTAATCAGAATAAATTTTAATTCTGTTAAATTCATTCTCTAATCCTTTGTTGGAACGTTATTAGAAAAAGGACTTTGCCCCACTATTTAATTTTAAAAATAACGCAAAACGCTAAAAATTCAAAAAATAACAGAACGCCAAAAAGGTGTTTTTTCATTTTTTCAAAGATATAATGACAAAGCATGAGAATTGCTAGCCGATTTTGCTAGTTTCTGTATTCCAATTTCCTTAGATCGGGGTGACTGAAGAAACCTTCGGGAATTGCCATTTAAGGGAATCGGGTCGGCTAGCTCCCTGATGTACACGTTCGAACAGAATTTTGGTACAAGCTTCTAAACACCGATATGTTCCTCTATCCATTTATTATTCTTTAAAGAAACATACCTAACAGCCAATTGTTCTCTCAAAATTGCATCCATCATCATTTTCTGATGTAGCTTCTTTTGAGGGTCTGACAACTTGGCATGCAACTCACGCAAGATGTTCAATTCGTTACGCCTTGCATAATAAGGAAGAAGATGAAAAGCAGCGGGAACCCTTCCTCTGTTAGGGGGATAATCATCTTTCTGAAAAGATGTTGTTTGTGGACACAAGTTTGTGGAGACTATTCTTAATTCTGGCATTTTAAATGTCATTTTTTAGAAAAAATATAGTCTAAATAAAGAGAGAGATTTTTAGATTTTTAGTTCAACATAGAAATGAACCTAACTAAAGATACATCTTTGGGTTAAAAAATTTTTTAATGAGGTGTTTATTAAATTAGGTATGTCCTGTCCTTTTTCAACTCTCCCAAAATGGCAAAAAATAAACCAAAAAGGATAAACATTGTCTTAAGATGTGTTTCTATGTATGGCTAAAGGAGCTTAAAACTTCTCCACGGACCGTTAGTGTGTGCTCGGTGTTGTAGACCGAACAACACTCAAAGTCAATAAGGGTTGTAAATAAAAGTCTGGGTGGTTTTGTGGGTTTTGTGTTTTTTTTGGGTGGTTTTGTGTCAGTTGTAAATACATATAGGGGAATTTTGGGAGGGAAAATAAAGTAAACTTTTGGGAGAGATGGAAAAAAGAGGGAGATAAACAACTCTATTACCGAGATAAACGGCCCTATTATTAAAAAATTGTTTAGAGGAGTTGCTAGTATTTAATGTATCTTATAGTGGGGTCCTTTAAAATTTAATAAAAAATTGTCTAATGTAAAGCATTGCTTGTCGATTTTTTAAATTTAAAATTTTATAAGGATTTGAGAGATAAATTTAAGGAGAGGGCAAGGCCCTCTATAGAGTAAAGGCCCGAGTTTAATTACGTGGACACGCGCAACATGGCCATAAGGCAAGGCATCGGAGACGGGAAATTTTTAGAGAGAGTAAAGGGAATTGAGAAAGAGGGAGAGTGAAAAGGAGAGGAGAAGGATGTCGAGAATTGCCGTGGCACTTTATAAATAAAAGGGCAATCAGATGACTGGGCAATCATGTGATTATATATTCATATGATTGTATATATCCTCTCTCCTCTCTTCCTCTCTTTCTTTCCCCCCCCCCTCCCCTCCTTTCCTCTCCCTCCCTCCCTCCCTCTCTCCCTCTCCCTCCTCTCCCCTCCTCTCTTAATTCTTCATTAAATCTTCCCAGTAAAGCTTCATCTATCTCCCCCTTAAAAAATTTCTCAATCGCTTTCATTCAATCGTTTAATCAATTAAAAAATCAAAGGCATATGACAATTTCACAAGGCAACAATGCCACTATAATAGTAAAAAGCGCACATGCCTTAATGAAGAGACGATTCTATACGAATATGTACGCGTGTCGCCTATTCAATGTAAATAAAAGCGCGTTGCGCGACTTTACATGCCTGCGTTTTTGAATTGCGCTGCGAGCGTCGAGAAAATATTTTAAAATTTATGTTGAGCTGTTTAAAAGGACATGTAAACATGTTAATACATAATTGTTTATTATTAATTGTTGTGAAATTTATTTAAAACTTTGTTATGAAATTTTATGCACTTTATAAGTACCTTTTTGTTCTTTGAAAAAGTTAAGAAATATCCTAACAATTAATGAAAATTTTAAAAAAATTATAGGACTAGTCAAAAACGCAGGTTATTATTAATACGTTTTGAGAATGTTTTTTAATGCAAGGGAGATTTCAGCTAGCTTAAATGCCATTATAAGGGTAAAAAGGCCGTCTATAAGGTAAAGGCCCAAGTTTAACAAAACATGCACAACTTGGCCATAAGGCAAGGCAATCGGAGACAGTGAAAGGGCAATCGGAACATCTCACTCCAGTCAGGAGTGAGCTGGTTATGTAAATTAGGGTTGCACAGGGTCGGTTAACGAACCGAAATTGAAAAACGGTAAAACCGGTATTTCATCAAAAATATCCGTGAAACTGAAACCGAGCCACCGGTTTCATAGGGTTAGAGTGAGTGAGAGAAAGAAAAAGTGAGAAGGAGAGTGATTAGGGAGGGATAGAATGAGAATCTCAAGTCGTGTTTACAAACTTGGAGCTCGATGGAAATGTGCGTAACTTAAGATAACTAGGAAGGGGCTAAATATAAATTTCGATTTAATAGAAAGGGAGTTGAGTAATTATTCCTTGCCAAAGTGTTTTCGATTAAGAATTATGAAAGTTAATGAAAGTTAATAAAAAAATAAAAATTAAAGGACATTTTTAAAAACTATAAGAGATAAAATGGAAAGGCCAGCTCTCAAGTCAAACAACTGGCAGTTTGTAGTCTCGCCCATAAAAAAAGTCGCGCACGCATTGCCAGATTGGGCATATAGGGAAGAGGCGCTCGGTGATAAATAGTCAAAAGAGAGTCTTGAAAGGGAAGAGAGACTGGCTGAGAGGTTGTGAAATGAAGCTCGAGAGTCGGCGTGGCATCTAGTAGATTTTTCCGACGACGTAAATACGTATATACACTCTCTCCTCCCTTTCTGCGATCACCTTAAAATTGTGAAGCGAGTGTTTCTCTATTCTACCCTTCCCTCTATCTCTCTCACAATCTCCTAATCAATTTATGCCCTTGTTAGATTTCGAAAGGCAAATTTAAATAAATTATTGGCAAATGCCTCTCTAAAAATATTTTCTCTCGAGGAGGGCCAAGTCATGCGTCGTCTATACATTGTCTAATGAAAGCATGGAGAAGCACTCTACGCCCTTCTATTGTTTAAAAGTAATGCCGAATCTGAGTTGAAATAAGATTGTTGTTTATCAACAGGGGGTTTCGAAATTTGAAGTTTTTTCTCTACGATTTCGAAAATTTTGAAAAGCACTTTATATCAAGGATCTAGCCGACATAAAAAATAAATTTTCGACACCCGGGAATAGGAGCTTGGTCCGATTCTCGGATCTTGGTCCGAAATATAAGGTCCGATTCTCGGGAATCGGACCTCAGATTTCGAGGTTTTTGAACCTTCTTCGCTTATGGAGTTTCGAAACTTTTTCTTTATAAAAATTATGATTATCTTGCTCGATTAATTTTAAAACCCTTCGAAATTATGAAATTTTTTCATGCGAATATTATAATTTATTATTTATAAATAATAAAGTAGAAAGAACTAATATTGAAATTAAATTAGAAAATCAAAATCAGAGAGACAAAATGTCTTTTTTACAGTAAACGTTCTAATAGAACCCATTCCAAATAGAACCCCATAGCCAGAAGCCCACTCAATGAGACACATTGAAAAATGGAATCCCGGGGCTTCTATTAGGACATTTAAGGTAATTTTTTGAAGGGAGGGGCATTTTTTAATGTAGAGAAAAAAGAGACTTAATAGACATGAGATGTTTACTGTCTGGACATTTTTATTACAGAAAACAAAAAAAAGTCGGAGTGGAGGAAAGATTTTTGATATTTAGATATATCTCGTTAACGTCTTGATAATCTATTTACGGCAGTATTAATTAAAAAATCTCAGATAATTCTTAACGGTAGCCAACATCCTGTGCTCCTTGCATTTGTAGACGAGCTCTTTCTACTCTTTCCTCGAAGTTGAAGAATTCTTTAAAAATAGTTTTTAAATCTCATTAAAGTTCTCAACCTCTAGGCCTATACTGTAGAAGAAGCTGAACTTGGGATCCAGTCGGGATTGCCTTTAAAGCAACTGCCGCCTCGCCATGCGTGGCACGTGTCAAATTTACATCATTTACTTGAAGGAGAACATCGCCCTTAAACAATTTAACTTTAGAAGTCTGAGTTAATTAGATGGATATAGTGTAGTGTACCGGTGGTAAAAGTTCGGGACGTGACATATGTCCTTCGATTCGTCTCGACGAGCTGAGTCGAACGGTACCACTCTTAATTTTAGGAAATGATTCTGGGTCGAGTTATAGGTCCCGAAATATTGAAAAACCATAGGGGGGAGTAAGCTCGATTTTGGGGTGAAAAATTCGAATATGCAAATAATAGCTCATTCGAAAGAGCTCGTCGAGCTGAGTCGAATGACACCAAAATCAGCTTGATTGTAAAAGTTTGGACAAAGTTACAATAGAAAAACAAACAACATAAACCTATGGGGCGTCGGCGAGGCGCTTGTGCAAAACCCCGCGCTTCGCGCGGGGTTTTGCGGCACGCGCCTCGCGGGGAGTCTACGGGCGCTGGGTCTGGGTCAGTAACATAAACCTAGTCCCATCTCCCTTGCTCTGGATGTATTTGAGGCTCCAGTAGCAGCAAAGACCTCCACGGGCGCCATAGGTAAGGAGCTAAAACAAACGGTCATAACTTTGTCAAATCAAGTCAGATTTCGTTGATTTTGGTGTCATTCGACTCAGCTCGCCGAGCTCTTTCGAATGAGCTATTATTTGCATATTCGAATTTTTCACCCCAAAATCGAGCTTACTCCTCCCTTTGGTTTTTCAATTTTTCGGGACCCATAACTCGGTCCAGAATCATTTCCTAAAGTAGGGAGTAGTACCGTTCGACTCAGCTCGTCGAGACGAATCGAATGACATATGTCACGTTCCGAACTTTTACCACCGGTACACTACACTACAGCCTAATTAGATTCCAAAATAGAAGTTGAACCTCGTTATAAAACAACCCCAATACTAGAAAAACATTTTTTAAGTTACGAGTTTTAATCATGTTTGCTAATGGGTAAAGAAAGAGCTGTCAAGCGTTAAGAGCTAGCTGTCAAGCGATAAGCTCTATTTACCCTAGCCCTCATGATAGAGGTAAATTTTATCCCTGATGTTTAGAGCTACTTCGAAATTTCGATTTTCGACTTTCGAGGGTTTTTTCTTTCGATTTTCGAGGATTTTTAAGCGGTAAGGGTGTGAGAGACAGCGCTGAAGTGTGTAGATCCGCTATATTAACACCAACTTTTCGTATATTGCCATTTAAATCGGCAGCGCCCCCGGGCATTATATGACTGATATAGATGGGTTCTCCATCCTCTCCGCCAACAATATTGAAACCGAGTCCATATTCATTCTTTCTAAGTGTAACCCTGAAAAAATAAAATTTTTTCAAGAATCCCATTTTGCTGTACCATCGCGGCTGTCTACTCGGCTCTACAATTGAAGTTGGTGATTGAGTAAATTTAACTCCGGAAGATTGGATTTGTGAGGGATAGTGAGATGCTGTTTGTCGAGGTAGTGTGCCTCCTCCCCCAACAGTTCCTCCAACCATAGGACTTGGTAAATGATGCAAAGATTCTGTAAAGAATGATTCAATGTATAGGCGATTTTCGAAAGGTGAATAGAGCGGAGCTATCTTTACAAAGCGAAACTGAATTCGTGGCCATAATACTATGATCACCGATTTAATCTTTAGGAACTTAGAGCTTCGGACCTAACTTTCAAATTTTCGTAGCTATAGAAGACCCTCAAAAAGCTATTAAATTTACGTGATCGAATAGGAGGCTGGAGAGTTCCCATTCCTCCAGCACTTCTCATTGAACCCATTCCACTCAACGACCTCTGAAAACCTCCACTACCACTTGCCCCCATAGGCATATTCATATGTGATTGACTTAAGGATCGGTGCATGCCTGGCTGGACAATTGGCTTTAGACGTTTTACAAGCTTAAAAGGAGTAAATAATTTTCGTATTTTGGTTTCCACCCTACCAAACGAATATATGTGCCAGCATCCTTAAGTGCCTGTACAGCATAATCGTGATCACAATTAGCTGTATCGCAATCATTAACGCAAAGGATGACATCTCCTATTTGTAAACGTCCATTCTTTTGGACTGCTCCCTACAAAATAATTGTAGAAATGAACTAAAATTTAAAAGACCCCTGGCGAAATATCTGTCACACGAATATATTTGTCCCCAAAAACAGGATCTAGCTCTCTATCTCTTCCTCCACTAATTGAAAAGCCTAGTCCCGTTTTTGATACATCTAGCATAACTTCTTCAACTTCCCATTCTTGACCAGTTTCGTCTATTAGTCGATTTATCTGTGTTTGTTTTGAAGATATATTTGTTTAGTTAATACAGCCGGACCTCATTTTTGGATACCCCTTAGTCTTAGAATGAGGTCTATCTTAAAGAGAGGGTATTGCTTAGGGCTCACGCTAGAAAGCTGGAGCTCTCCTCCATTCTCCCCCTCCTCTCAGCTCCCCCTACTCACTCTTAGCAGCTTTCTCTCCTCAGCTCTCCTCTTCCCCCTCAGCTCCCGGTACTTTGTAGCCAACTAGGTTAAAAACGTATCATAAATCGAGGTATATCCTATCTTGGGCTGTCTTGTAGTGAGGTCTGACCGCATATTTATTTTCTAAATTACTGGTGAGGTATGAAGAAAAGTATCACTTCCGCCTCCACTCGGCACCCCAAATGAACGTCTTGAAGGTGGGCGGTTTGGTGATAATCTGGGTTGTTGTATAGGTCTACGTATTGGTGATAATGATGGTAATTGGCTTATTCCATTGAATGGCCCCAATATCGGGGAACGTTCCCAGCGGGCTGCGAAGCGGCGAGACTCGAAAATCTGAAGGAGATTGTGATTAATCGTTAAATCTTTGACATATCCTGTCAGAGGTCAATCAGGCCCCATCCCTAGATACCCTCCCTGAATTAAAGAGATATGAAGGTAAGCTATCTGACATCGAGGGGATCGTCTTAACACATACAATTGTCACAGTAAGTGTCAGGCATCCTATCAGCATAAAAAATTACCGATTTTTCCAATTCCCGATTTCATTGAGTGAGAATTCCGTAGGAAATTTTAATTCCCAATTTTAGGGAATTAAAAGGGACAGCATGACCCCTTTTGGGACAGCTAAAAAATTTTCCGATTGTTGACAGTCTAATCAAAATGCATTTTCATTATATTAACAAATAGAATACTTTCTCACCTTATCACCGACAGGAATTCTTTCATTAGTCAACACATTTTCATAAAATTCGTGAATATCTGATAAAAATAAAGGGAAAATAAAGATAAATTCTCTCAAAAATTTAAAATTATCTAACCACATAAAGCATTAAATAGTGAATGTTTGAATGTATTAATGACTCTTTCAATAGCAAATTTTAATTCTGTTTCAGATGATCGAAATAATTCTGAATGGTATTCTTCAAGTAATTCCAAAGAGCGGTGAACGTCTCCTATATTTTAATTTATAAAAAAAGTTTTTTAATGAAAGGTATTTTCCTTAAAATTTACCCCCATAGCCACACTATCATTTAATTTTAAGTTTATCAACTTGATTATATAAAAGAATAGCTTGGGGTACTCGAAACTCAGACTTTTTGACCCGATCCGAGTAAGATTCTGAAACCTCGATCCGAAACTTGACACGAAACACAGCCCGCTTTTCTCTCATTCAGGGCCACCATGTTTGGCATGAAAGGAGAAATTTATTATAAAGAGGTTCACTATATAGAAAGTAATTTTGTAAGAGAAATTCTAAGTATAATAAAGCTAAGTGTATATGGGAAGGCTGAATATTTTCTTATTTTTTAAATATTTTAATTTTCTTCCTCACCTTTTGCAGGCATTTTTTACAGATATAAAATGAGTTAATAAATATATCTAGCTTATTTTTAATTAATTAAGATAATAATCTAAATTAAAAAAATAAAAGAAATCGTTCTGAATCAGTCAAAATTATAGGAAAAAAGAGGAGGTAAAGCATCTTAAAATCTTGACTCCGAAGCTAGCTCACGGAGCCATACCTCCCCCCCCCTCCCAGTAATTTATTTAAAACTTAAAAAACTAAAGAAAATTATTAATCGTTAAAAATGTCAAAAAGTAAAAATAAAAAAAAATAAAAATAATTTTTAGTAAATACAAGCAAATAAAAACACCAAAAATGGGAAAAAACTTCAACGATTTCCAGTGAGAGCGACCAGAAAGGATGACTAATACACGTAAAAATGGGGTGTTGGCCAACAAAAAGGGCCCCACAATTTTATATAAAATAAAATGAAAGGACAATTTAATATATAAAATGGGTGGTAATAGTTGAAGAAAAATATATGTATAAAGTTAAAGAAATTGGAGGAAAAGCAAGGGGGATATATTGTGAAGTTATACTTAGATAATTAAACTTTTAATGAAAAAATCTACACTGATCTTTAAAAAGAATTTTTTTTAGTACCTCAATTAAGAGGGTAGGTGGAAAATAAAAATATGAAGACCCTTTCAGGTGCTTTAATTTCAAATAAATTCTGAAATTAAGGCATCTAAAGGCACTTGAAATAATTTATTTTCAATTAAATGTACCACCTGCCACCTGCCCTAACTAAAGTACAAACGGAGTAGGATTACCTTTCTGGTGCCTTTAATTTCAACTAAATTCTGAAATTAAGGCCACTAAAGGCACCTGAAAGGATTTGCCCTCGATTAGTTCTGCCACCTGCCACCTACCCTCAATTAAAAAAATCGGAGTAGGATTAAGGTCGTAGTCATTTTCTTCAGGTTAACCTTGAGGTTAACTTTGAGATTAACTTTGAAATTTAAGTTTTTTTAGTTTTTTCCTTATAATGAGCTCCTTCCACTCAGTGGCCAAATTTAAAAAAATTTATTTGAAACTATGAGAAAAATTATATTTTAACTAACTACTAAAAATATTTTTTCAATTAAAATTTTTATTAATTTTAAGAAAAATCAAAATTCATTTAAAATAAAATATAAATAAAAATTATTGATGTAGTATAGAACATGAAATGTAATTTTATTTTGTGTGTCAATTTTGACCCACTCATTTCATTTAGATTTAGTAAAAACAGCGCCAAACAACCAGCCAGCCAGCCTTGTTAGAGAGAACGCGCAAAAGGTATATTTAATTGTTATTTACATTGCGCTGGAATTGAACGTAAACATAGCGACGAGAATACACATTTATATGTATATTACATTGTTATAATAAAATAGGTATGTAAAAAGAAAAAAAATGTAAGAAAGAAATATTGAGGGAAAATAATAATATGTAAAAAAGCTTATTAGAAAGGCTCAAGACTTAGAATTATATAAAGAAAAAGCTTATCTGAAAAATTAAAAAAATTTCGTTGAAAATACCCTTATAAGTAAAAGAATAAGTCGGGTCTGAACGACTCAGACATGGGGCACGCTCAAGTATGTAGGAGCAATGCCATAACTAGCTGGACAATTTCTGGACCTTAACAATTTAGGTACCAACCTCTTTAGCTTGATGAGAGAACTCGTTTAGTAATAAATTTTGAAAGATTCGGAAATCTTGAAGCAAGTTATGACTTAGCGCCTACTTAGCCACGCGCTGTACCCCTCAGACATGTCACTCAAGTTTTTTGATGCTAAGGTGTTTTTTAACTCGGTGTTTCAGAACTGTGTTTAAGCACACATTTTTCTCCAAATACCCACTGTTTAGAGAAATACCGGTGTTTGAACTATGAAATATTTTAACGTGAAAGAGTGGGATTAGGAAGAATTAGGAAGGATTATGAGGAACAGAAGACCAGAATTTCGAGCATTTTTTTCAAGTTTAAAGAAGCTCTGTTCTCTCATTTAATATGAGGACAAAGAGAGAATATTTAGGTAAAATATTCATTTAAAAAATTTATTTTTGGGTATTATATGCCTTTTTAAGTCAAATAGTTGTATAGTTTTTGATTAAAGAATATTACAAATAAAAAATTCTTTTATGATTGACCTTGCATTTGTAGTATAAAATGACTGTCTTTCGTCCTTTTCACTCAAAAAGTCGTAGCAACTATAAAATATTTTTAGCGCTCTCCGCGAAGCTTGATTTAATGGTCAAAGCTGGAGAGGTAAAGGAAGAATTTTTGCATTTTAAGGGAGGGGGGGGGAGGTCCTTCCAACGGCGATCTTCAGGTTAACAATTAGAGTATACAGCTAACACCCGTCTCTCCAAGAAATTCGAATCCTGCTCGAACGGGATAATCAGGAAGACTAATTTTTTATAAAAATACAGTATGCCAAGAAATTCGAAAATCAAAAAATCCGCCAAAATTATAATAAATAGACACTAGAGTATTAAATCAAAAATTATTTTGAGTCTCTAAAAGTCCCTGTTGTTATTTTTATATTTGATCTTTTAAGAAAAGCTCTCACAAAATAATTTCATTTTTCAACAACTACATAATTGATGACAGTTTTCTTTTTATAAAATACAAAATAAAATTACTTTTTATTGTGTCCACTTTTAATATTAAAAAATGTTGTTGAGAGAGAAGGTATACGGAAATTAAGCAAACTTTACGCACATTAAAAGATTAAAAATTTTGTGAATGGGTAAATTGAAGATTGGTCAGTGAACAATAAAAATGAATTTGTTCTAAGCTTAAAAACTTTGAGATACCGTCCATATAAAGGACAATAAGGGGCTGGGTGAGAGTCTATTGTAGTGGATTTTCATTGTACATGGAATCATTGGGAGCGGGCCAACTTACTTCGATCCCAATGTACCAGCCGAGCTAGAACTCCGTTCAAAATTATCAAATCCGTGACGCCCTGTATGGTGTCTCGACGAGCTTAATCTAACCATATCAGGGCGTTCAGGATTCGACAACTCTGAACTAAGTTATAACTCCGCAGTGCCTTGGGAATCGTTTTACTTTAAGGAAACTAGAGAATTATTTCGAGAGATATAAGGAGATACTTTGCGGAGCTCTTCTAAGAAGTCCATTAAATAGAGAATTTCACAAAGGAGAAGGTTGAGTGGTAACAGGCTTCAGACTGATCATCAGTCAATAAATTGTAATTGCGGCCAAATGTATCGAGTTCTGATTCATTTTCTTAGATCAGAGAAAATTCAGAACCTTTAGGGGTTTCCGGGAAATGATTAATTATTTCCCATTTTTTGTAAATATTTTTTTTGCTATAAATTATAACAGGTAAAATATAATAAATAATAAGAGTACATTCTATTGTTTATAAAAAGTTGACACGTAAAATAATAATTTATAAAGATTAAATCGAAGATAAAAATGTAGGAGGTAGTATTTTATTAAAAGCATAATGAGGGAAAAGTTGGGTAATTTTCTAGATTATTTTTTAATTTTTTAATAAATTGTACAAATAAATATTTATTGTTATAGGAAGTTATATTTTACATAAGGATTGCAAAAATAAAATTTATTTACTCATTTTTCGTTTTTTAACCACAAGAAAGGTATGAGCATCTCGCTATACGTATTCATGATCACCTTTTTCTCTCATTAATATTTATGTCAACTGATTTCGACCCTAGAATGTGTTTTAGCCTAATTCGATAACTGATCACACGTTGATTCCATTCATACGTCAGCCTAATTTTGTTTAGAGAGGGCAATCCGAGAGCATACGTGTTTCAGTGACACTTGAAAGGAGGATACCGTATTTTTCCGATTAATTATCTCCTTCTCCATTAACTTCTCTTCACAAATTAAACACCAATCTACCGAAAGGACGACATTCAAGACAAAATGATTGGAAAATCGAGTACAAGATTAGTGTAGCTTTAGGTCTGCTCCTGTCTGAGAAAAATCCCCTAACATTTTAAATAATAAAAAATTAAAATCATTAAAATTAGCATAAAAATCACCTAAAATCACTAAAAATCACTAACTAAAATCACCCAAAATCACCTAACAAATTTTTGAAATAATTGTTTATTTTAGTAAGTAAATGATTCCTCTAAAATCATTTTTATTGTTTCTATTATTGCTAATAATTTGTACAACATTTTTTACTAATAATATAGCTCAAGGTTAGAACATTAAAATTAAAATAACTCTCTAAAAAATTAAAATAATTAAGCTCAAAATGCAGGCACTATAACAATAAAGGATAAATATATCAAAAAATGGAGGCATTCTAAAACAGGGATAGTAGGGACTAATTTAGGAGCTAATTCAGGAGCTAATTCGGGAGCTAATTCAGGAGTAACTCTGACCAAAAATTCAACAGCAAATTTAAAAACAAATTTTGGAGTTAATAAAGCTAATGCACCAAATAATTTAAAAAATAATAAATTAGCTAATCCATCTGTTAATTCAAACATAAATTTGAAGAATAAAACAACTACTAATACATATTCAACTACAAATTTGGGAAGATTGGGTAATTCAGGAATTCAGCAAACGCAGAAAACTACTGCTAAACCTATTCTAGTTAGTTACTGTCAAATCTTTTTCATAAGAAACAGCCAATATTCCTTCTAAAGTTTGTTGGTAACTGGGCGATAAGGTTCCGGAATCCGGATCACGGTACACCGGATTTTCGGATCCGGTACGAAAATTCGGATCAATACGAAAATTTCCAGATATCCAACATTTTTCGGATCCTAACATCAAATTATTCTCGATTTAAAATGCACCTCATTATAAGATATGAATTTTCTAGACCTAAGGATGGATTTTATAGTGAAGGCTGACTCTATTTTTATAATTTTTAATTAAATCATCTACTTTATCAAGAAAAATACCGGAGACGACTCTTATGGTGGTGTACAAGGAGCTGGACCCAACTCGGCTAAACTGGCTTCTGTAGGTTCTTCACCTGTCAAGCCTCCACCTGTCAGTAAATCCCTGTGTTTTGTACTTAATTAAAATTAGTTTTCAGAGTTACTCGACAATTTCAACAACCCTTCCCTCAATAAGTAATCCTCCTCCTGTGCCAAGTCAACCACCCCAAAACACAGAAAATTATGCAAATGAAGCAATAACAACTACTCAAGTGTTGACGAATAATGCTGGAGTAGCCGCGCAAACATCGAATCCATCTACTAAAATTGCAGAAATCTCAACCGGAGGACCCTCAACTTTGTATCCCCCTATCTCATCCTCAATAGAATATTCTCCATCTACCCCTATCCCATATATTAACTCGAATCCGGCCAACTATAACCAACAAAATTCGAATATTAACTCGAATTCTGCACCTAACTATAACCAACCACAGTATGCCTTACCTCCAGCAATTTCCCCATATGAAGTAAAACCAGCACAAGATTCTAATGCAGTACCTGCAGTACCTAGTGGTGATGCTTATGAAGCTTCTGTTTTGGAACAAACAGTTGGGGTAATTGTTACGACCCCTATTATTATTCCAACAACAGAAACACTAACTACTACAATAAGAACAACAACTAGAGGTACTTGCTTATTATAAGCACGCAATAGTAACTTTTTTCTTAAAATTTCTAGTGCCGCCATGTGGGCCAGATGTACTCTTTGTTTTGGATTCAACTGGTTCGGTTCGTAATGTCTATGAGGCGCAACGCGGATATATCTTGGACGTGGTTCAACAAATGGATATTGCATCCGATGGACAACATGTTTGTCTTGATGATTTGGGGAGAAGGAAGATAGGATTTTAGCGAGAAGGCTCGAGGGAGGATTAGGATGAAGGAGGATTGAATTTTAGCGGGGAGGGGGATGAGTATGAGTCAAAGGCTGATTCCAATCCGTCCTAGAAATTTAAAAAAAGTCAAGTCGAACAAATCCAAAACTTTAGGTTGGCCTAATCATCTACAGCAGCAAACTTAGACAACGCATTGTGGTAAATTTGGATGAATCTCTGACTAGAGAACAGTTTCTTAAAATTGTTCATGGTAGTAACTGAATGAAAATATTATAAAAACAAAAAAATCAAACAAAACTTTCAGAATTGCCATATCATGGGGGAATTACAGCAACAGGCGCTGCTCTCACTTTAACTATAAAAGCCTTAGAAAAGCGACGGCCTAGCAAAAGAACACTTGTTATTTTGTTTACTGATGGGTTTACTTATGACGATTGGGAAGAACAAAGCCGAACACTATTATCTAAGGGTGTTGAAGTTATTGTGGCGGGGGATGCCCAAAGCTATTTGCGGTCAGTTTTATAAAAGAAGAAATTTTATTTTTGTGTTTTTAGACCAGTGCTGGACAAAATAGCTGGCGATCCATCAAAAGTTCTGCTTGGTCAAGAGAACAAACCTAAAGTTTTGGATTATCTTCGATGTAGATGATAACTCTTGAAGTAAATACTGTTGATGCCAACTATATTTAGAACACGAATCGTGCCACTATATCTACTTGCTGTGTCATTATATCCCAAGATCATTATAGGCCCAAGATCATTAGAGATATATCCCAAGATCATTATATATATGTAAATACTATATTTTTTCATTCTTTTGTATTTTGTATGATAAAAACTTAAACTTAATGAATATTAATCAGAGTTTTTTCTTGATTTGGTTGACAAAAGTCTCTCAAGATCCATAGAGTTTCCCCCAGCTGATTCTCAAAAACATCCAATTTCGATGTTTGTTTGGCATTTTGTTTTATTGACATTTCGTCCCAACATATGATCGTCATCAGAAAAGGGCAAAGTTCTTTCTTAAACTTTGTTTTTTTTTCTTTGAAGTTGCTTAATTTTTTCTTTTCTAGATACAAATTACGGATATTCGCTACAAACAATGTCAAATATTTCAACGCGTGCTGACCAAAATGGGAGCAACAAACAGAAAAATTCAAGGGATTATGAAGCGGTTATTTTTTAATTTTTGTTTTACTCAATTTAAATTTTAGAACGTTTTTCTGTTGAGTGAGGTTTATGCAGAACTTGTAGATCAACAGACGGGAGTTAGCAGTTTTATGAGTGGAGTGCTTTCTGTTGTTGAAAAGGTAACGAAGCATATCTTTTTAATTTACCAAACATTAATATTTTTTGCTGGCATGGTTTTTATAGGCAAACTTTAGAGGAATAGGAGGAAAAAAGAAAAATTGAATGTGAATGTAGTTTGGAATTATTGATTTTTTGGGTTACTGATAATTTTGACTATTGATTGGCTTGGTGACCTTTCTGTGGTTTTCCTGTACCCAGAATCCAGGCCCAGACATTTTTGACCTTTCTGGGGTTTTCCTGGGCCTGGGTTTTTCTTGGACTACAGGCCTAAGATCCGGCCCAGGTCACTAAATTAAACACAGGAACAGGTCCAGACTTTTCAAAAATACCAATTTCTAATTTTGACAATATCTTGATAGTCCGAATTTTCTGTGACTAATGGTTTCTGTTTGTTTTTCTTCAGTTTTAGGGCTTATTTTCCTTTCAACTATTTTTAAACTTTTCCTTTTCCCTCTTCAGTTAGAAATTTTAAGAATAGATTTGAATTTTTGTTTTTGAAGATTATTTCAAAAATTTCAGTCTTGGGGCGTCTTTTTGGAATGGAAGCCTTGTGGACCTCTAACGGATTCAAATATCGATAAAGACGACGACACTTCTGAATGGGTCATTGAAGAAGCCACAGAAGCTTTGATTGAAAGTTCGATTTCTAGCAAAACAAAAAATTCATCAAGCCGAAATTCCCCTTCAAACGGATCAAATCCTTCTTCAAAAGAAAGAGAAGAAGCTTTAAAACAACAACAAAAATATTGTTTTTCTGTTGATTTGAATTCTCTCCGTTCTTTTCAACATTCAAGTTTTAAAAGAGGTTTTTGGAATTTTTTTGGAATCTTTTAAAATTTATTTTTTAGACCCAATTTGGATACGTTTTATATGCAAAGATGGAACTGATTCAAGCAATTATCATTTACGCGGAGGTGGATACGAATCTTTGGTTAATTGTCTTCAAAGGTTATTTTGATTATTCTGCTGTAAATATTAACGGGATTAAAACTTGGGTTGGAGTGTTTGGTATCCCTGGATGTTCGGGTTATTTTCGAATATCCGTGCTGTTTTGGATCCGGATCCCCCAACCCTAGTGTCATCCACGTTTCCATGACCTGTGAATTTTTTATAAGTTTGCTGACATCTTTTCTTTTGTGTCATTAGACTTGGGCGTAGCCAGGGGGCTTCTGGGGCTAAAGCTTCCCCCCTCCCCCAAAATGGGGAAACGGAAAAATTTGAGGAGGGGATTGAGCAAAAAAGTGAAATAACCTTTTTTTTTGTTGACAGATATGTCTTTTTAACTCGTTCATCTCGAGCAGAAAATTTGGTGATAATTACGGACAGTCGAACCGATGCTCTTGAAAAATCTGTTGGAATGTTGAATTTAGACAAGAAGGATATTCTTACGGTTTTTTATTTAAAATTTAAAAAAAATTCTTAATTTTAGCGTTTTTTGGCAAATCCATATGCCACGTTAATGACTCAAGCAACAAAAGTAACATCTGCACTTGCACCACTTCTTGATGTTGATGCTATTAATGCTGAAGCTGAACTTCGGTATTTAAGAGAACGACAGCGAGCGGCGGAGGATGAGGCTGCTAAACTCAGGTTTATATGAAAATATTCTTCCTATTATTCCGAATTTTTTAATGTTTATTGCCTTATAACCAATATGGGATTGGGTTTGCTGTTTCATTATCAGTAAATTTTGTGAGGAACCTGACTTATAAACCGAATCGAACATTTTTTGTTTTCTGGGCTGGTTGAACTTGCCAGCCATAGTCTTTTGTATTTAAAATCTTCAAGGAAAATTAAAAGATTTCCTGTACTTTTGTTAGTTTTCTTACTTTCATTTATCTAGTATCCGTCCAAAAAAATTTTTTAAAGATCACACAATGAAGCAGGATTTGAGCATATTTTTCAATTGGATTTGCCTGCTCGTCCACGCATTTTGCAGCGAGATCCACCTGTTGATTCAACAGTCTGGGAAAAGTTTCGAGCTCCAGATGGCCACATTGAAGATGCGCACGGTCTTCTTTGTTTAGTATTTAGAGGTGGAATTGTGCCAGAAATGCGTTGTACTATTTGGAAATATATTCTTGGATATTTTAAATGGGAATGGTCTGATGCTAAAAATGCTGAGGTTTATTTTTTTGAAATTAATTTTTAGCTTTCGGGATAATAAAACCACCCCAAAGTCTATTTATGAACCTAAATGTGAGGGAAAGTGTTAAGAATTTATATACTTGTTAGGAGTAACATACCTCTGGATTCACTAGCTAACATAAGCTGGGCCTCTTTGGCAGCTGGTCGGCGCTTATACTATTCAGCAGGGATTTTTCTCAACCCGTGACATCCCTGCTATACAGGGACTACACTAAAGCAGACCCCACAATCCCACATCAGACAGTAGTTGTTCTATCCTCCCCAATTGTTAATTTATTCATTGTCAGATAAGAGTTTGTTTTATAATTAAAATAAAATAAATCTTTAGAATCGTACAAAACTTGAAGAGGAATATTATCGAATGAAGCTTCAATGGGTAACAATAACGGATGACCAAGCAAGTCGTTTCTCTAGTTATCGTGACAAAAAAGCTTTGGTAGAGAAGGATGTAGCACGTACAGATCGAAGCCACCCATATTTTAATCAATCAAAACCTAAACATTTGGAATTACTTCATGATTTGTTAATGACTTATTGCATGTATGATTTTGATTTGGGTAAATTTTTGCTCCTCACAAATTTTTTTAAAATAAATTTTTTAGGTTATGTACAAGGAATGAGTGATTTTTTAAGTGTTCTTTGCGTTGTGCTTCGAAAGGAATCTGATATTTTTTGGTGTTTTGTTGGGTTAATGGAACATGTGGTTAGTTTTTTAATTAGTGACTGATGTGAGTAGGACCATTTGTCCCTTCACAAATATCAAGATCGATGTTCCTTGAGACATCGATCTCGCATCTCATGTCAGTTCTTAGGTCTAAGGGTTTGGCCTGGCCCCGTATTCTCAACCTCGACAAGCCCGATCCCTAACATTTCGGCCCTGACTCTTATCTCTGCACAAATACCAAGATAGATGTACATCGATTTCGAATCTCATGTCAGTCCTTAGGTCTAAGGGTTTGGCCTGACCCTGTCTAACCTTGACCCTGATATTCGCCCCAATCCCTATCATTTCGACCCCGATCATTTTTAAGTCTTTTCTCTATTTTCTAATATATTCTTTTTATTTTTTCAGCACAAAAATTTCGAATTAGACCAAGTACATATCAAAACACAATTGTCCCAGTTGAAGAGTCTTGTTGAAATTGTGAACCCACGTTTGGCTATTTATTTGGGTATTTTTTAGAAAATAAATTGAATGTTTTTAAATAATTTCTATTTTATAGAAAGTCAAGATTCTGATCATATGTATTTTTGTTTTCGATGGATTTTGGTCTTATTTAAACGAGAATTGTCTTTTGATGATTGCCAATATCTTTGGGAAGTTCTTTGGACAGGAATACCATGCCGTACTTTTATGCTGCTTTTTTGTGTTTCTATTTTGGATACACAAACTGATATTATTATTGAAAATCGTTTTGGTTTAACAGAAATTTTGAAGGTTTTTTAAATTTATTAATTTAGTTAGAATGTAATTTTTGGGGGTTTTGAGGCTGAGGAAGGAAACTGATGAATTTTTGTTCGCCAAAAATCTTTTTTGTGGCCTCCATTAAGTGAAGAATACTGAATATACCTCAAATTAGGATGTGCTTTTTTTAGTTGGCTATTGGGGGTAGGAGGAAGGTGCCAAAGTGATACTCTTCTACTATTTAGATTAGGGTTGGGGTTTCCGAGTCGGGTCTCATTTTTGGGCCTGATTTTTATCAGACCGGATCGCGTCTTTTTCGGGCCAAAATTCGATGCCCGACTCGATCTTTTGGACCGGATCGGACCTCCAACCCTATTTAAGAATACTCCTCATTATAAGACAAGATCTTTCTAATCCTAACTATATGATTGTATTAGTCAGGCTAGCCATATCAAGTACCTATCCAATTTTCCCCAAATTTCAGCACATTAACAATTTGTCTATGCACATTGATGTACAAAAAACCTTATGTACAGCTGAAGCAATTTACCATCAATTAGCAGCAGTTCAAGACAAATTGCCTAGGCACATTTGTGAAATTTTGAGTTTTAATCATGCAGAAAGTATTTCTTGTAATAATAATGAAAGAAAAGAAAATGGAAAATAAATTTAAAAAATTTTAAAAATTTTTCCTAAATTTAATTCTTTTTGGTAATATTGAACGTGACAGACCCCCTTTTTTCCTCCCCAAGTTTTCCCCCTATATTCTTACAGAATGGTCAGACTTTTTCCTTTCTCCCATCCCAATTGCCTTTCTATATTTGCCAGCAATCAAGTACTCCTCCTTTTTATAATCCTTTTTGTTTGTTTGCAGGCAAAAATTAGAAAGGCAAATTGGATGGAAGAAAGGAAAAAGTCTGACCATTTTTAAAAAATATAGGCTGAAAATTGGGGAGGAAAAAAGGGGGTCTGTCACGTTCAAAATTACCTTCTTTTTTGCATATATATTCCTCTAAAAAATCGCGCTATGTATTTTTTAGTAATTTCAAATTCAAACAACAAAAAAGGGGTTTTTCTAAATTTATTTAAATTAATTTTTATTAAAATTATATATCTATTTTTTGGATATTTTTTGGTGTGCTTGTAAATATTTTTTTTAAATGGAGATAGCCTCTATAATTTGTTTTTCTATGAATTCCGATTAATTATTAATACTAGGAACTTTTTTATGAACTGACCTAATAGTAAACCTGTAAAATTATTTTTAAAAAATTTTTAAATTTTGAACGAAGCTATCTTTTCTTCACAAAAATACAATTAAATTCACACATTATGATTTGCTATAATTTTTTGTGTTAGTAAAAGTTTGAGTAAAAATTATTTTAAAAATAAATTTGAAAAAAGTAAAAGTTATTAAAGTTGTAACGTTGAATTTATGAGTGAAAAGATGATGTGTTAGACTTAGAAGCATTTACTAGTCTTTAAAAGTATGTAAAAGTAAATGGCCATTTAGTTCCTAGAGCTATGAAGAAGGCGTTGTATAGAGGATAACGCGTCAGTCCAACTGAAGATCCGCTTCCAGCCGTAGAAGAAACCCTTTGCTTTACCTGTGGGAGAAATAACCCCCAGCTCTCCAATTTTCATTATTTCCCTCAAAAGATTAACTCCGAGTAAACATAACTGATTCTTTTAGTTTTGTTTAATGTTTAAATTTAAAAAATTAAATTATTTAATTTTTTAAAATTTCAATCAATAAAAATAATATTTAAAAATCACAAGACGGCAATATTTATTTTAAAATTTTCCCGCATGCCAATAAATCTATAATTGCCAACTCTATCCAATAGCCATGAGGACACGTCGACTTACGCCTATCTGTCAGGCCTTATGAAATCCTTCCCCCTCCTCTCCTTATCATTTATTAAATTTAATGCTTGCGCTTCTTCATTAACTCCGCTTGTTAATTAACTCCGCTTGTTAATTTAAATAAATAAAATTTTAAAAAATAATTTTATAAGGCAGGCTGTAGAAGCTTTTATTCTCGTTTAATGCCTTTTGCCTGTTAACATTAATAAAAATTAATTATAAAATTTTAGATGATCAAACACATTGTTACAACGGTAAATACCGTTGTGCTCGTTTGTCTCACGTTGACGGAAGGTCGAGTGATTTGGCCTGTTAGAGAGCAGAGCGAAGTATCTCCTTCGTATTACGGTTGCTTAATATATTATATTCTATTTAAATTTAAATATTTAAAGGTGGAAAAACAGCGAAAAATCCCTTCGAGCTGTTCAAGATAATTGATGTTGATGATGACGGTCAACTTGGCTTTGAAGAGGCTGCCGGTTGGTTTTCCCAGTTGAAAAATCAGACTAAGGACGATACTCTTGGAGATGTAGAATTCCGTATGCTTTTCAAGGAGGCTGACGCGAATAGTGATGGATTTATTCAATTTGAAGAGTTGGATAAAGCGTTAAAACTGGCATTTAAAAATGAGTTTGAGAGCGATGAGAGCGACGAAGAAGGTTAATACTCAATTGATCATATGTAAAAAATATTTTTTGAAATTAAGATGTTGAGGAACGCGAAGATGTTGAGAAGCGCGAAGATGTTGAGGAACGCAAAGATTCTCATGTGAGTGAAATGAAACCCTCCTCAGATGAATCAGCGATTTCAAAACCTACAAAACTTTTTGAGATAATCGATTCTGACAACGACGGTAAAATCACTTTTGTAGAAGCATCAGAATGGTTTAGTAAAATGAAGAATCAGAGCATGGACTTTACCAGTGACGATAAAGAATTCCGTAATCTCTTTAAAGCAACAGACAAAAATAGTGACGGATTCATTCAACCCGAAGAATTGAGACAAGTAGAGGTCCTAGCTAGAGCACTCGCGGCAAATTTTCTTCCCAATAAGAGTAAGGCAATACTTTATTTTTTCCGGGATAGTTGTTGGAACTATCCGGTAAAGGCTTGAATTCTTTTATATTCCACGGCCTTAAGCCATGATTTAGATTTTATTATTTCAAGATTCAATACAAGCCATTACTATGGAACAAGCCCCTGCTATTGAAACCTCTCAAGATCAACCAAAAGAATTAACTCCTTTTTATTACGGTTATTTAATAATTTTGTTTACTTAATGTTAATATAAGGAATTATTTACAGATGTGAAGAAACTTTTCAAAATAATTGACGTTAACATGGATGCCAAAATTTCATTTGAAGAGGCCGCCGATTGGTTTTCAAAGGTGAAAAATGAGACTAAAAGCGATGCGCTGGGTGATTTAGAATTCAATTTACTTTTCACTAAGGCTGACAAGAATCATGATGGATTTATTGAATTTGAGGAAATGGATAACGCGTTAAAACTGGTATTTGAAAATTATACTGGTGAGAGTAATGAAGATGACAGTGATGCCGAAGAGAACATTTCCGATGAAAAGGAGAACGTTTCTGATAACAAAGAATCTGTTTCTGATACCAAGGAGAACATTTCCGATAAAAAGGCTTACGTTTCTAATACCAAAGAAACCGTTTCAGAGGATAAAGTTTCAGATAACAAGGAAAACATTCATGATAACAAAGGGAACATTTCTGACAACAATGCAATTGTTTCAGATAACAAGGAGAACGTTTCAGATAAAACCAAAGAAACCGTTTCAAAGGAAGACGTTTATGATAACAAAGAATCTGTTTCTGATAACAAGGAGAACGTTAATGATAACAAAGAATCCGTTTCTGATACCAAGGAGAACGTTTCTGATAACAAGGATAGCGTCTCTGATAATAAAGAGAACGTCTCTGATACCAAAAATATTACTGAGAGTAAGGAGAACGTTTCTGATGACAAAGAAACCATCTCTGCTAACAAGGATAACGTTTCTGATAACAAAGAACCCGTTCCAGATAACAAGGATAACGTTTCTGATAATAAAGAGAACGTTTCTGATACCAAAAATACTACTGATAGTAAGGAGAACGTTTCTGATAACAAAGAAAACATTACTGATAGCAAGGATACCATCTCTGATAATAAAGATGGAGTTGCTACAGATGATAAAGTTTCTTCTGTTGCAAAATCTGTTCAAGAAAGTAAAGAGAAAATTGCTACGGAGAACCTCAATACTGATGATAAAATCGAGCGTAAGGAGAATGATGAACTTAAGGAGAAATCTACTACTGATGTCAACAAGAACACTGATTCGATCGTAAAGGAAAATGCTTCTGTTGAAAAAGATAATTTGAATACTCCTACCATTAGCAAAGAAAAGGATGTCAATGATACAGTTCCCTTGAATGCTGCTTCTGAGAATATAGAAAATGCTACAAACAATGAGCCCGTCAAGGAAGATAAAAGCAAAGAGAATGCCATTGAAAATATCAACAAGGATACTGTTGTTTTAAATGAAGTTAAAGATGGAGAAATCCATGATAATGATAAGAACTCTACTGAGAAGAGTAAAGATAATGCCTTGGTCAATGATAATGGTGACAAACCAGTGGAAAACAAAGAGAGCACTGAAAAGGATAATGCTGAAGAAATGCAAAAGAGTAAAGATAATACCTCAGATATTGAAGATGATGGTGACAAAACTGTTGAAGTCGTAAAGAGCACTGAAAAAAATAACGCAGAAGAAATCCAGAAGGCTAAAGGTAATTCCTCAGAGATTCGGAAGAATAAAGATTCAGCTATGGAAGATGATGGCGACAAAACTGTTGAAGTCAAAGAGAGCATTGAAAAGGCTAGTGATGAAGAAATTCATAAAGATAATTCCTCGTCTAAGGAAAAAGAGGGTGTTACAGATGCCAAGGAAACCACTGAAAAGGATAATGCTGAATCCACAACAACTGGTAATGTTGAAATTGCTACCGATAAAGCAGAGAATGATCCCATTGGCAATGGCTCCGGTGGTAATGACTCCAACGATAAAAGCATCGACGGAACAAAAACTGACGAAATTGGAGAGAAGAACGTTGCCGATAAATCTGAAAACAAAGAGAAAGAAGATAACGCTGTTGATGAGACAGGCTATAAAAAGGATGATGAAAACAACGACAATGCAAATCATGATGAAATGGAAAAAAAGGAAAATGAAGACAGCGACAACGCCAATCATGAAAATTCTTCCATGTCCGAAGATTCTGGTTCTGCCGAAGGTAAAGAACTTTAGTAATCATTATTATATTTATTCTATTTCATAAGACAAAGAGAATGTTGTCGATGCCAAGGAAAATGCTTTAAATGATGATAAAAAGAACGCTGAAACTCCTTCCGACAAGGAGAATGCAGTAAATGATCATTGAGGAAGTAACTGATCATTGAGGAAGAAACAAGGATTTGCAAAAGCGAAGTGTACATATACGATTTTTAAACCACATACCTTTTTGAAAGACAAGAGAATCCATCCACAAATCATTTATCATTTCATTTTTGAAATTTAAAAACACGTTTTTTATCTAATTTTCACCAAACGATAGTATTTTTTTTATTTTTTTTCGATTTTCGTAAAGTAAAAGTTTTTTGGGTAACTTCTTAGGCTTTATTATTTTTTAAAATATAAGAGGAAATAAGTCCCGTAGCTATTTCCATTTTATCCAAGCTTATCAAATTGACTTTAATTGTTCGGAATAATCGCGGAAACAATACAAACAATTGCGAAATAGGCTTTCGAATGTTATTTAAAACATTTAGATCAAATAAAAATTTTAATGGTCAATATAAATTCTAATATTTACTTTATAGAATCTATCCTTCCTAGATATTAGGGTAACCTAAAAATATTCTAAAAATATATTATATTTATTTCTTTGAATCACAAAATATATGTTAAATCACCAAGTTTTGGGCAGGAGAAGATAATCAAAAGGAGAAGGAAAAATTATCTGAATGAATGGAGTGAAGAATATGAATGATGTAAAATATAAGTCAAAGAGTTACGTTAAAGATCAAGCTTAATAAGTCACACCCTAAATATTTTAAAATATTTCAAAAATACCAAAAAAAAATTTTGTTTTGTTTCTAAAAATATTTTTTTTTATTTTCCCACAAAGTATTATTTTTGAAAAATTTTTTGTTCTTATTTTATGTTTAGTAACTAAATAAAGACTCGTTTACACATTAAATGAATTTGTTGCAAAATTAAATTAGGTAAGAATTTTTATTCCAGCGCAACATTTATGCTTAATATTTAAATAAAATTAATATAGGTATTTTATTAAAGATTCAAGGGTGTGCAAACACAATTATGTACATACATATATACAGGGTGGCAATAAGAATAGGATACTTTTCAATTCATCATAATTTTTATGTCGTTTACGTTTTTAAATATTATTATTCTCATTTTGTAGCTAAATAAGTGTAGGGTTGATGCGCAGTCAATTTACCCGTTTTTTGTCTCAGGAATGGTCACATAACTCAACAAATATTAATCGGATGGATTCCTCTGCTTGGCATTTTAGAGACAAGTGTCTGCGCTTAATAACCCAAAAGATTGGAGTCTCTACGGTAATCATTCCTTCGGAAATGAAAGAAAATCTCTTCCAAGGGGGTGTTAACTTTTGACCAAAATTTTTCCAAGCGCCTTCGACTTTCTATCCTTGTAAAAGTTCAAAAATTCTTGATTATCATTTCTTCAAAAATTCTTGATTATCATTGGTCCTTATTTAATTCTCTATCATATAAGCTTTATTTTATCTCATTATCTATAATTTGGATAAAGTTGTGTCCCATTACTTTCTGGTCACCATATTATTATTTTTGAAAATTAAGAGATTGTGTTAATAACTACTGCCAATAATTACTAATTCATTTACTAAATAATTTTTAAAACACAAATTTTGCTCTGTTTAGTTTGCCATTTAAATTTTTGATTCAGATTTGTTGTTAAAAGATACTTGCCTTCAATTAAGCAACAGTACTGTTTTCAAATATAATTTTTTGAGATAAATGAATAATACTATATTAAATCTAACAGTATTAAAAAATTCTCCTTCAATAATAATTACTTTAACAATAAATTGTTTTTTTAATTTATGTGGAATTTTAATGAATATTGGATTAATAATAATTACGGTTAAATACAAGTAAGATTCTATTAATATCTTAATAAATACTAATGATGATCTGCTGGAGTTAAACAAGCCGAGAGTCGAGACCGGTAATTAACTCCAAGACCAAGAGTCGAGACCGAGCGATTAGGATGAATATCAATTAATATCCCTCCTAATCCCCAAAATCCCTTGATATCTCTCCTATAAAATCCCTTATATCACTTGAATCCTCGTTATCCTTCAACTCCACTTTAATCCTTCACTCCACTTTTAATCCTTCAACTCCGCCTTTCAAAGTGGAGCTGAAGTTTCAAAGTGGAGTTTCTCCCCTCTATGGTTTTTCAATCTTGGCGGACTGTATCTCGGCCACAGGCGTGGCCGAGATACTTTAATTGGAGTGTTAAAGTATATCCACATGATAAAGTATATCCAAAATCAGAATTAAAAATCGAACAAAAAATCTGAAAAATTTATTTCAGAACTCTACAAAGCACCTGTCATTTACTTATTTCCTGTTGTTCTTTATGTACGATTCTTCTACTCTCAGAAGTGTTTATTACCTTAATTGCTAATCTATCTACATCATTAGAATCTATATCAAGTTTACAATGTTTCTTTGTTCATTTATTGCCAGCTTATGGAATTTGTAGTGTTACTAGTCTGATTGCTTGTGTTGGGTTGGATAGAGCTTTGAGTGTTTTCTTTCCACTTTGGTAAATTAAAAAAATGACAGGGTAAAATCCAGCCAGAGTTCGATCGGAATAAAATCAGAATTAAAAATCAGAATTAAAATCAGAATTAAAAATCAGAATTAAAAATTAGGATTAAAATCAGAATAAAAATCAGAATTAAAAATCAGAACAAAAATCAGAATTAAAATCAGAATTAAAAATCAGAATTAAAAATCAGAATTAAAAATCAGAATTAAAAATCAGAATTAAAATTCAGGATTAAAATCAGAATTAAAATCAGAATTAAAAATCAGGATTAAAATCAGAATTAAAAATCAGAACAAAAATCAGAATTAAAATCAGAATTAAAAATCAGAATTAAAATCAGAATTAAAAATCAGAATTAAAAATCAGAATTAAAAATCAGAATTAAAATCAGAATTAAAAATCAGAATTAAAATCAGAATTAAAAATCAGAATTAAAAATCAGAATTAAAAATCAGAATTAAAAATCAGAATTAAAAATCAGAATTAAAAATCAGAATTAAAAATCAGAATTAAAAATCAGAATTAAAATCAGAATTAAAAATCAGAATTAAAAATCAGAATTAAAATCAGAATTAAAATCAGAATTAAAAATCAGAATTAAAATCAGAATTAAAAATCAGAATTAAAATCAGAATTAAAAATCAGAATTAAAATCAGAATTAAAATCAGAATTAAAAATCAGAATTAAAATCAGAATTAAAAATCAGAATTAAAAATTAGGATTAAAATCAGAATAAAAATCAGAATTAAAAATCAGAACAAAAATCAGAATTAAAATCAGAATTAAAAATCAGAATTAAAAATCAGAATTAAAAATCAGAATTAAAAATCAGAATTAAAAATCAGAATTAAAAATCAGAATTAAAAATCAGAATTAAAAATCAGAATTAAAAATCAGAATTAAAATCAGAATTAAAAATCAGAATTAAAATCAGAATTAAAAATCAGAATTAAAAATTAGGATTAAAATCAGAATAAAAATCAGAATTAAAAATCAGAACAAAAATCAGAATTAAAATCAGAATTAAAAATCAGAATTAAAAATCAGAATTAAAAATCAGAATTAAAAATCAGAATTAAAATTCAGGATTAAAATCAGAATTAAAATCAGAATTAAAAATCAGGATTAAAATCAGAATTAAAAATCAGAACAAAAATCAGAATTAAAATCAGAATTAAAAATCAGAATTAAAATCAGAATTAAAAATCAGAACAAAAATCAGAATTAAAATCAGAATTAAAAATCAGAATTAAAATCAGAATTAAAATCAGAATTGAAATCTTCAGGTACTACTACAGAAATGTGAAAATAGCATTTCCCTCACTTTTAACACTCTCGTCATTATTTCCATTATATGTTATTTGGCTTATGTTACAAAATACTTTGGAAAATCCCACTCATCAAATAGTCTGCACTTTTGGGGGATTGCTTGGTACCAGGATTGTTCGTGTTGCTTTCCTTTCCTTCTGTTTAATATGCGTATCCGTCTTATGTTATTTAATGGTTTGGGCTAAATTGAAGTGGGATATGAAGAAGAACACTTCCAATGGAAGTTTGTTTTTATTACACATAGATTCTAGTTCTCTTATCCAACAGAGGTGGATAAGAGCAACACATATCTTAAAGGACCTATAAGATATATATGTTCTAGTAGGTTGTAAAGTATGGGATTTTTTTCAATTTTTCTCTCATAAATTTCTTTTTGGGACTTAATGTGTGGGTTATCCAATTTAATAATTTTTTTTAAAAGAAAAATTTTTAAAATTAAGATATCCAAGCCCGACAAGCAATTTTTCATTCATTAATGATTATAATGGCTATCCAAGTTTGTGGGCGGTGTATCAGTTATTTAGCTATAGTTGTTATTTATTTGTGTATAAGTGATCCATATTTGAAATTATTATTCGTGGTTCTGGTTATTCTTTTTGAAAATATTACAGCAAGTAGTGACCCTATAGTTCTTTTAATTACAAGGCAAGGGAAATTCAAAAAAATTTTTTTAACTAAATAATTTAAGCAAAGAATATCGACTAGCTTTTTACAAACAATTTCCATGGCTTTCACTTTTTTATAAATTAAAATCAAATAAAATTGTGCCACAAGTATGTATTTTTAAGTTTACAGTAACGATTTGAAAAAGATCCTGACTCTGAATATATTGGGAATTAGTCTGTGTACATGAAAAGGAAAAAGCAGAAATGAAAATTAGAAAAAACCAAAAGAATCTGGAAGCTCCAAAAATATAAAAAAAACCCTCGGAAGAAGCCATCAAAAAAAAATCAGAAACCTTAAAAACGCAGAAACAATCTAACCAAAAATCGACTCCTATCCTATACTCCTGTTCCCATCCTTACTCCTATCCAGAGTTGGTTCGGAATTCCGACTTCCGGAATTCGGAATTTTTTCCTTCCGATCTCCGAGTTCCGAAAAAATTTTTTATCTCCGATTTCCGAGTTCCATCTTTTGAGCCAGTTCCGATTTATGGGTCCTCCGATTTCCGACACCTCTGATCCTAACCAGTGGTTAAAATTTTAAAATTTGCTCGTACTCGTACTTTCGTACCTGCCTAATTTTTTGCTCGTACTCGTATTCGTACACATGTACGCGTACAAGTACGAATTTTGGTACGAGGTCTCCTATCCTCATTTACTACTATCCTTATTAAATTTATTAAAAAATTTTATTTCAGAAACATATTTTCACTACAAAGGTTAACGAGGCACAAAAAATTAATAACGCTGTCCAAATTACGTAGAATTTATGAAGAATATTGGTAATTTTGAACTTCGTACCCCCCCTCTTTTTTTGTTTTAAAAGTATTAAAAATGGTCAGTCTTAAGATGAATATAGAACACAACGAGCTGTCTCGAACGACACCAAAATCAAAAAAATTCGACTTGATTTGACCGAGATACAGACCCCTGAAAATTGAACAACCATGGGGGCGAAAAACCAAAAGGACGAAAAAGTATAAAAATGATAGCTCATTCGAAAGAGCTCGTCGAGCTGAGTCGAATGACACCAAAATCGACGTGATCCGACTTAATTTGACAAAGATATAACATAAATTTTCGACCCCGGTAGGTCTAAATAATGTCATAACTTTGTCAGATCTCGTCTAATCACGTTGATTTTGTTGTCATTCGACTCATCTCGAAGAGTTCTTTCGAATGAGCTATAATTTGCTTAAATTTTTTTTATTTAAAAAAATCACCCCTGTGGTTGTTTAATTTTCAGGGGTCTGTATCTCGGTCAAATCAAGTCGGATTTTTTTGATTTTGGTGTCGTTCGACACAGCTCGTTGTGTTCTATATTCATCTTAAGACTGACCATTTTTAATACTTTTAAAACAAAAAAAGGGGGGGGGTACGAAGTTCGAAATTACCAGAATATTTTAAGAAGGTTGAAGCTTCGATAAAAAAATTAAAAATTACTTTTTTTCAAATTTACTTCCAAAAATATTTTTTCGTTTAATTTTTCTTCAAATTATTAATTTTTAAAAAAGCTTCTGAAATCTTTATTTATTTTTAGTAAATAAAAAAACACTCGTTTAAATAAATATGCAAAATTAAATTAAGCAATAATTTGTTTTTTATTACAAATCAAAAATTATTACAAGGCAACATTAGCATTAATAAATGCTATAAATATTTTTATTATTTTATTAAACATTTAATAAACATATTTAATTAAGGGGTCTGTGCAATACACAATTATACACACAAATATTTATATTTATTATTTCTGTAAATTAAAAATTTTGTGAAAAATAAATAAAAAAACAAAGTTTGTTTGTGCATCCTTGACGGAGGCTCTTTTTCCAAAAAAATATATTTAGCCAGATCCGTATTTGCTTTATCACACTATTTCCTCCTTATCCGAGTTATTTCAGAAATTTTGGATTTTTTGAAGGATTCTGAAACATTCAAAAGAGCTATAAGTTTCTTTGAGCTAGGCTAATTTCGCATTTCGGATTTCGCTTCGGGTTTCGAATTTCGCATTTCGGGTTTCGCTTTTTCACTTTTAGATTTCGTCAATCCCTGCTGTATATCTTAAAGTATTACCAAAAATATGCTAGGCCAACAAAGCTTATTCATTTGCTATTATTAAAAAATAAAAATAATAACAGAACGTAACAGAACGGAGTTTGTAAAATTTTCAAGAAAATTTTTGTTAAAATAATTTTTTCTAAGAAATGAGTTAATTAGGGTATATAATTTGTAACTTTATCCATTTTTAGAGGAACATCAAATTTATAATTTTTTAAAATTACTAGCTTGTAGCTAAAATGATATTTTAATTTAACGAGAAGAAAATATTTTTTTAATTGCTACCTTATTTTCGGAATATTTTTATAAATTTTTTTTATAAATTTTTCACTCATTTTCAACACAAAATTTGCCTGTAATTAACCAAAAAAAATTTTTTGAAACTAGATGAGTAATATATTAGATCCAACCACGGTAAAAAATTCTTCTTTAATACATGTTATTTATTCAATAAATGGTTTATTTAACTCTTTTGGGATTTTCATGAATATTGGATTGATAATAATTACGGTTAAAAACAAGTAAGATTCTGTTAATATACCTAAATTCTTAATTAAAGAATAGTAGCCTGTGGTTGGTTTAAAAAAATCAAGATAAACAGCGTTAACTAATTGGTGTCTATATAGAGAGAGAGAAACTAGGTTTTGTAATCAGTAGGCCAATTTTTAGCCAATTTCAGTAGCCCTTTTTGACAATTTTCAGCCTTGAAAATGACCTTGACCTTTTTTATGGCTAAACCGAGCTTTCTCCCCTCTATGGTTTTTCAATTTTCGGGGGCCTGTATCTCGCCCACAGGTGTTTCCGCCCCATAGGAGTGATACCATTCAACTAAGTTCGGTGAGGCGTATCGAATAATGTATGAATCAAAGGGTTTTGAATCGGCCACAAGTTGAAGTATATGTAGAATCAGAATTCTGACTATCAGAAATAATCAGAATTAAATGTTAAACATCAGAAAAATTTATTTCAGAACCCTACAAAGCACTTGCCATTTACTTATTGCCTATTGTTCTTTATGTACGATTCTTCTTCTCTCAGCAGAGTTTATTCCCTTAATTGTTGTTTTAGCTTCATCATTAGGATCTATTTCAATGTTAACATGTTTCTTTATTCATTTATTGCCAGCCTATGGTATTTGTAGTGTCACCAGTTTGATTTCTTGTATTGGGTTGGATAGAGCTTTGAGTGTTTTCTTTCCCTTTTGGTAAGATAAATCAGAATTTAAAATGAGAATTCATTTTACTAATAAATTGGACTATCATCAAACTAGAGATCGAGATTTTTGAAAAGCCTTGAGCTGCTCCAGGCTCTGCAGTTTGATTTATTGACCTGGGCCTGATCATGGTCCTGTAGTCCAGGAAAAAACCCACGCCGAAAAAAAAGCTCAGGAAGGTCAAAAAATGCCTGGACCTGGACTCCGCGTACAGGAAAAACCCAAGCCTTGGTTCAGGTCCAGCTCGATCTCAACATCAAACAAAATACATCTTCAACTGTTAAATAGTTTTATGATTTTATTAAGGTACAACTACAGAAATGAGAGAAAGGCACTTTTATCCCTTATAGCACTCTCGTCTTTATTTCCATTATATGTTATCTGGATAATTTTACAAAATACTTTGGAAAATCCCTATCATCGTATAGTCTGCACTTTCGGTGAATTGCTTAGTGCTAAGACTGTTCATGTTGCCTTCCTTGCCTTTTGTTTAATATTAGTATCAATTTTATGTTACCTAATGGTTTGGCTTAAATTGAAGTGGGATATGAGGAAGAGCAATTTCAATGGAAGTTTGTTTTTATTATTGAGAGAGGGAATGGTATCAGGAATGGGATCTCTTCCTCTTCAGGCTTCTTCGGTCGAAAAGTTCGGTGTCGGGGGATAACCTGCCCGGGGTTGGGGGGATAGCCTGATAACACATGCACATTTAGTATGCTTTTTTGACCCTTCTGCTGGTTTTATGCCTGCGGGGCTAAATAATGAGGAACACAATTACTAGCCTAACTGGTTCATTATATGTATGATCCAATAAAAAATTTTTAAATAAAAAAATTATTTTTAAAAATTAAGATATCCAAGCCCGACAAGCAATTTTTCATTCTTTAATGATTATAATGGCTATCCAAGTTTGTGGGTGGTGTATCAGCAATTTAGCTTTTGTTTTTATTTATTTATTTGTAACTGAACCATATATGAAATGGGTATTAGCAGCTTCCTTTAATGTTTTTACCTGTATTATAGCAAGTAGTGACCCGATAGTTCTTTTAATTACAAGGCAAGAAAATGCCAAAAAATTAATTTTAAAATAATTTTAGTGAGGAATATCGACAAGCTTTTTACAAGCAATTTCCATGGCTTCCAATTTTTTATAAATTAAAAACAAATAAAGTTGCAGTTGTCTCGCAAGTACGTACTATGTATTAATCTTTGAAAAAATCATCTCCAGTGATGGGTATGGCTAGGAGTCGGCTCTCTCTCTCTCCGCTCTCTCTCTCTGCTCTCTCTCTCCGCTCGCTCTCCGCTCTCTCTCTCTCTCCGCTCTCTCTCTCTCTGCTCTCTCTCTCCGCTCGCTCTCCGCTCTCTCTCTCTCTCCGCTCTCTCTCTCTCTGCTCTCTCCCTCTCTCCGGAGCCGGCTCCTCCCAAGTTTTGATCTGGCCGGGCCAACAAATGCCCAATACCCAGCTCTGATCATTTCTCTATACAATTAATACAGGGCTCCGATTCGTACTTTTTTAAAAGTATTGTACTTTTTTATCGACCTTCGTACTTCCGAAATTGAATTTGTACTTTTTTGAAAGTATGTACTTTTTTATCAACATTTTTGAAAAAACGAAGAAATCTGGCTTAAGGACCTCCAAAATTCTCAATATTTTCGCATGCGGCGCAAAAATTGGAAGAAATCTGGCTTAAGGACCTCCAAAATTCTTAAAATTTTCGCCTGCGGCGCTGAAAAAGAAGAAATCTGGCTTCTTAGGTTCCAAATTTCAAAAAATTTTCGCCTGCGGCGCTTCTCAATGGCAAACATTCAATGGACGAAAGAAAGAAACTCGCTTGAGGTTAAGACTGTCAGAGCTTTGCTTCATGTGACAGCAAATTTTGACATGTCAACAAAATACTAGAGTTCAGCGGGATCGGGATCCCGGTCGGGATCGGGCGGGATTATCCCGGGTTTTTCGAATCCCGATCCCGATTTTTCTAATCCCGGTCCCAAATAAATATCCCGATCCCGGCCAATCTCAATCCCGAGCCGGGATCCGGGATCGGGATCGGGGGGGGGGGGGACCGCAGTGCAATTTTAGAATTATACTGAGTCGTATGTGAAGAAAATAAAAATTTAAAAATAAAAAAAAAATACTTTTTAGAACCCGATCCGATTTTCTAATCCCGGTCCCGATTCGGGATCGGGACCGGGATCTCCAGTCCAAATCCCGATCCCGATTTCGGCTAATCCCGATGCCGTGTCGGGATCCGGGATCGGGATCACCATTCCTAAATCCCAATCCCGGGTTTTTCTCGAAATCCCGATACCGCTGAACTCTACAAAATACTCAGTTGAAACAAGAAATTATTAGAAAAGATTAATTTAGGAGAGAAATATAAAAGATCTGATCACGAATAAATATTTTCAAATTTAATTTTGAGTGTACTTTTTATTTGCAAATTTTCTCCCTATGTACTTTTTTTACAAGATTTTGATACTTTTGAGTGGCATTTTGTCGATCGGAGCCCTGAATTAATATTTTAAAAAATTTGTTTCAGAAAACAATATTTGTCAATAAAAAGATTAACGTGGCCCAAATGACGACGAATTTATGAAGAATATTTTTGAATGATGAGGAGTTTTTAGCATCAATAATTTTCTTAAAGTGTTGTTATTTTAAAGTGTTTTTTAATTGAAAAAAATTAAAAAAGTTTCCATTTTGCAGAAAATTATGACAAAAAGAAAAAGTTCTCCTTATATTTGCCGCACCTTGTATTTTTATTTTTAGCTAATAAATAAGCAAATTAATTTAATACCTACCTATTTATGTAATTAAAAAAATTACATTAAAGATCGAATTATTGTTTAAAATATTTTTCCATTTGGAAGGCCAAGAACCAAGAATTCTTCCCATTTTTTTCTTCTTTTTCGGTTTTTGCGTTAATTTTGTCAAGAATTTCGTCAAGAATAATTTTTGCGCTAATTCAACTAATAAATCTAAAATAGTTTTTTTCCCTATCGAACACAAATAAAATATGAAACAATAAAAATGTTTAAAAATTTTTCTAAAAATAATTTTTAAAATTTTCGCATAAATTACAATTTAGATTTTTAAAAAAGCTTGCGAAAAAATCGTGTGAAACCTTATGTTACTTTATTTATTTTTAGTAAAATAATTTTTTATAAAATTTTTTATTCTAAAATTATTAAAATTATTAGCTTAATATTTTTATCATTTTATTAAAGAATATGTGGGTTGCAGCAGGGTTGGGACGGCAGGGCTGGACAAATTTCGGATTTCGCATTTCGCTTTTTATTTTAGATTTCGCCCAGCCCTGTGGACAATTTCTCAAACCTAGACCCGATCCAAAAAAAATTTTGAAAGCCTCGACTCTTTTCTAAATACGTTCCATCCCTGGTGTGCAACACACTTATAGGTATCAATTATTTTTAGAGTTCAAAATTTGAGAAATGCCGGATCTGGTTCCGATATAAATTTTCTGGATCAAACCGGATTTTACGGATGAAAATCCAGAAACTTTTGTTTCAATTAAATTCACGGATTCCGAACTACCCGATTTTCAAACCCCGGATCCGTTCGAACTTTAATTATTTTTGTAAATTAAGCACTTTGATAATAATTACTATCAAGCAATTCATTAACTAAATAATTTTCAAAAAACAAATTTCGTTTTGTCTAGCTTGTTCAAGTCATTTTTGAGATTTTTTGAGATAAAATGAATAATACTTTATTAAATCCAACATTGGTAAAAAATTCTCCTTCAATAATAATTATTTTATCATTAAATTGTTTTTTAAATTTATTTGGAATTTTAATGAATATTGGATTGATAATAATTACGGTTAAAAACAAGTAGGATTTCCTCCAAGATCATAACTAATTTCCATTTCAGAACCCTACAAAGCACCTGCCATTTACTTATTGCTTGTTGTTCTTTATGTACGATCTTTCTACTTTCAGAAATGTTTATTCCCTTAACTGTTACTTTATCTACATTATTAGGATCTATTTCAATGTTAACATGTTTCTTTGTTCATTTATTGCCATCCTATGGTGTTTTTAATGCTACTAGTTTGATTGTTTGTATTGGATTGGATAGAGCTTTGAGTGTTTTCTTTCCCTTTTGGTAGGATAATGTGGAATTGAAAATTAGAATTTAAAAGTCAGAACAGAAAATCAGAATAGAAAATCAGAATAAAAATTAATTTTAATTCAATCCAAATGTATCTTACTTTGAAAGCCCTCGATAAGCGGTATAGTTACTCCATTAGGGGGATATCATAGCTATCGCTCATTTAAAAGTTATAATATAATTCAAGAAGTTCAGGAAACCGTTTGAGTAATCGTACTTTTCAAGGAGTACTCATATATGATAGACAACTTTGAAAAAAAGATACTACCAATCGAAAGCCTTCGAATAATATAAGCTTCATTCGTATTGGATTAGGCAGCTAAAAGTCATAGCCGATCGGAGTCAGCTGGTACCCATTTAAACTTCCTTTTATCTTCAGGTACAACTGCAGAAATGAGAAAATAGCATTTCCAACACTTTTAATACTGTCGTCATTATTTCCAATATACGTTATCTGGCTTATTTTGCAAAATACTTTAAAAAATCCCTCCAATGAAATAGTCTGCACTTTGGGGGAATTGCTTTGCGACAAAGCTGTTCATGTTGCTTTCCTTTCTTTTTGTTTAATATGTGTATCCGTATTGTGTTATTTAATGGTTTGGGTTAAATTGAAATGGGATATGAAGAAGAACACTTCTAATGGAAGTTTGATTTTATTATTTATCTTAGGGCTCTTATCCAGCAGAGGTCGATCGGAAATGACGAAGATGCCAGAAATATGAACTGACGGAAATTGGATATGGCTCAAAAGTTGGAACTCGGAAATCGGAAATCAGCTCAAATTTTCGGAAATCGGAACTATCGGACGGAAATCGGAAATCAGCTCAAATTTTCGGAAATTGGAACTATCTGAAATCG